TGTTTTATCTTGTATATCTTCCCAGGTAAAGTAGAAGAAGGAAACTTAGGTGAAATGGAGTTATATATAAATTTAAGTATCCAAAGAAGAAAGACCCAACCTAGGCAAAAATCAATTAGGAACGGTTATAAAATCATATAGTATTTAAGTAACACTTATATGTGTTGAAAAATAACCCCCACTCACTATTATATACATTTACATTGAATTAATCATTTTTTCTCCTACCTATGACTGTTAGTGCAAAGTAGAGTTGAGAGAGTGACATATACTTATCCTTACTTATGCCTTTGGGGTTTGAGGTTGAGTTACATTTTATTCTTTTCTATTTTCTCTTCTCTTTTTTTTTTACGTTCTTGTCTCTATTTATTTGTCACTGTTTTGCAAGCAAAGGTGAGAATGCAAGTACAAGTAGAAAAAGCCTTACTCACAACCCCTATTTGCAAAGGGGAATTAGCACCTTTATTTTTGTATTAAATCAACTAATCTTATAGTCCCACAATAGATACCTTCTTCTATATAAGACACTCATGGATGCCTAATATATATGATTTTAATTTTTAATATACCTTACTCAAGAGTATATTATATTTTAATTAGCCACTAATTAATAAGAATTGAACCCATGCCATTTTCTTGAAGCACACTTTCAACTAAAAAAGAGGTAATTACTTGATTGCAATTGTAATAACCCTTATTGGCTAGATTGAACAATCCAAAAAGTTAAGTGTCAATGGCAATCAATACATGCTTATAACATATGTCATAACACCTTCTCTTGCCCAAGCAATTGACAACCTCCCTCTACAGTATTATTCATTAAGACATGGTTAAAAAATAACCCTTTGATAGTTACCCCCATAAGACAAATGCCATTGACTAGATTTGATGGTCCAAAAAGTTTGGCAACTCCTTCTTATGATTATAGATTGTTAGGCTACCAAAAAATTCTAGGACAATATGATGAAATTGTTTAACAATCAATTATACCAACACTTAGTAAAATTATTAATCAAATGTTGTAGCACATTTGATCATGAGATGAGATTTGGATATACTGTCACCATAGATCCTTGGAACCTTGGGGGATAAATAGGGATAAAATAGCCACTAAGGGCTCTCTCATCAAGCCCTTAAGCCTTTTCCAATTGGCTTAAGGGAAGGTGTGCTATAAATGTGTATTATCATAAATTAAATTTAATTTAAAATTAAAGAAATTCTTACTTAACTCAGCCAAATTATGTCCGAAAGAAGAAAGAACTTGGTTTATGACCAATTCTAGCTAGGATAATAGCAAAGTTCAGTGTTTACTTATTTACTGTTTACACCACTTTACTAATTACACAACTAGATATGTATTCAGAGCAAACACATAATAAAATATAGTACTCTATATGATTTCTCTAGGTTCATAGCTCACTCTAGATAATAACTGTTAAGAGGCTTTCAAGCTAGAGAACAAAAGTTCTTTGGGACATAGTTTAATAATGATAGTGTACATTCTTTAAACACTTGAAAAAAGAGAGCTTAAGACTTACATAAGAGTTTAGAGTCTAGTTGTGAAAGGTTGTACATAATCTTCTTTCCCAGCTTCCCAAGGCTTAGACTAAGAAAAAGAATTACAAGGAGCTTTTTCGAAGCTCTTCATTATTAGCTGCCCTAGATCCATTTTCACATTTATCATCCTGCTCCATATGTAATTTTGGGGTTTCAGCAAATCACACCCTACCTCAGCTCCCCATTCCAAGGATTCATATGTTTTAGGATAAAAGCCTGAGAGGTAGCACCACTACTAATTGATCATACCCTAGATGGATGAACAGCTATTGCAACCCACTTGCAGTAAAAAAGAATATCTCAGAACCTTTGCAGCTGAAGGAGTTGCTAACATAACCCAATCTATGCGAACTCTTTCATCACATCAAGAATGGGGAGATCTTACCTCACAAACCAATTCGTTTACCTAACACACTCCATCTGGATTGACGTTTTGAAATTGCAAGATCTCTGGCTGCCACTCTCACTACACAAACACAGACCCATATACAAGAGTAGGCACTTGTCATATTTGTGTCTTACCATGCTTTGTCCAATAACAAACAAAGATGTTGTGATCCTCCCCGTGGATGATGGGTTTATGTGTGTGTGTTCTAAAGCAACCTGAAAACAGTTGTGCACCTATTAGCAAGCAAAAGATCATCTTGATTTTTCCAAAAACCATGGAAACCAAGGACATGTGATTTGAGGGTTGGGGGAGCCTCCTAAACTCCTAGATCTTGATCAAGATTAAAATGCTGATTAGGTCATAAAGAAATAAGGACATCTTTAAAGGGGTCTTCAATTAGTTAATAATTAATGAGGACATTAACATCTTTAAAAGGTGGTTCCTTTTGGTTCAATAAGGGTTGTTAGTTAATGGTTAATAAGGACATTTGAAGAAGGATGTATAGGGGTAAAGTAGCCACTAAGGACTCTCTCATTTAGCAATTGCCCATTTTTCAATTAGCTTAAGAAGAGAGAGATAAAATATGCTAGACAAGTGTATTGTAGTATTGTAGGAAGTAATTGGTTTTATAATATTTTAATCATATGTTTGTAATTGGATTTTGTAACTATATAGACTCTGGCTTCTAGGATTTGATAATTTTCTATAAAGAAATACATATTTATAGTTACTTCCTTAATTTTTCTTTAGATCATATTAACAACAATTGTTATTTTGATACTATTCTAATTTTATGACAATTTTGCTAATTGGCCAGTATATGCTACATAATTTCTAGTAAAACACTAAGGTAAACCTCTACTGGTTATGAGATTTGAGGCCTAGGATTGTCTCAATTACTTGGTTTTAGTAAAAGTTGGATTGATATATTAGCCGCTAATGGGAGATAGACACAACTTGCGTTATTATTGGATGATGCAAGAAACTTGATTCCTGCAGGTATTTGTGCATTGCAATTTAAACTTGGAGTTCTCAATGAAATTCCACCACAAGATGATTGCTTCCTTGTTAATTTTGGGCAAACTATTTATTTTCCTAGATAGTTTCTCATGGAGGAAGAAGATGATATGTCTTCTTCTAGCTTTCTAAATAAAGATTAGTCCTTTCAACTTAAACTTTAAGTATTTTCAGAGATTGGAGAATGAGCTTTAGCAATGTGTGTTTTACTAGAGTTCCACTGGCTCAAATCATCATCTAATCAAGAGCAATTACCCATACTCTAGGATGGGAGCACTTATGATGTGTTATATTGCACTAGATAAAAGACTAGAGGAAGCTCAATAAAGAAGGATTGATGGCATAACAATTTTGATGGTGATGTTTTAGTATATTGATTAAGTTCATATTGATTAGTTTTAAGATTATTATTGTGATTAAAATTATCACTTTAACTTTAGCACTATCTAAATATGCTTTCTTGATTTCCTATGAACGGATATTGGTATTCTCTTGACCATTTAAGAAAATTGAAAAAACAATTACTTTAGTTTTACCTTTTATAAGGTGTACAATCTTAAAAAAAGAAGTCTTTGTGTTAGTGGTGGAAGGCTTTGCCAACCACTACTATGGCGTTGCTGTAGGAATGTGGGTAGGTCAGAGATCTTGTTGGTGGTGATGGAGTTTGCTAGGCAAATGAATTGATTCATAACAAAATTCTAGATAAGAGTGGTGCTAATGACAAAGCTGTGAGTGAAAGTTTTGAAGTTTCCTAATCACCATCAAGGTTATTGATAGTGTGATTTCATTTGGATTTGATAGTGAACATCATGACAAAGTTTGATGTGTGGCCCAAGTAGCTAGAGGTGAAAGGAAGAGTAAAGCTAAAAGCTCTTGCTAAGTTTCTTATAGATTTGTGTAACATAAAATTCAGAGCAATCATAGTATGTTTGTGTTTGCTTTTACAAAGCGAAATCTTTAAGAAAGCTTTCTCATGTTTATTCTTGCAATTTGTTATGTAAGTGATGCCTTTTTACTCATGTCTTTACTTTCACTTCTCAAAGAGGTAAAGAAGTTCTTATATCTTTTGTGGGTGTAAAGAACTTTATTTGGAGTTCTTATTGTTAACGAGAATTCTTTTGAAGGCCAAAAGGTATGTGTTGTAGGTCTTGTTGGAGAATTGGAGCTGTGTGATTATTGAGTGTCATACTCTGTCAAACTTGATTGTCCAACAGAATTTCAGCTTTAAGAGCAGATAAATTGAAGGTATATTAGAGTTTTCTTTATCAAAGTTGCTAAATATTTTGTTAATTACAATGCTGAATAGAAGTGTTAGATTACAAAGGCTTTGAGCCTTTAGCTCTCTGGATTTGCTAATGTTTTGAGTCAAGATTGTTATTGTCTCAGCTTTATCCTAAATAAAAGCCTCCTTCATTCTCTAGGTAACAAATAGTGCATCTGTATATCATGCATTTGGCAAGTTTCCCATTTCATTTGATCTAATCTTTTCTTTGTTTGAATGTAAACCCTAAACTGTGAATAGAGCCTACTCGGGGCCAATACCTGTTATCGATATGAGACCACCTGAAGGGGCTGAATCACCAGTAGGAGAGAAAGTAAGAACCACATTATCACCACCAGGAGCAAGAGGCAACAATAGAACTTTGAGGAGTTAAGTGTGTCTACCCTTTGGAGTTCCACAAAAGTAGGAGTAGGAACTTCAGTGCAATCCTAGTACAACTACTCTTATCAAAGAGCACATCCCATCTTTCCAACTCTTGAGAGAATAACGATATTCTTTCATACCTTCTAAATATCCCAAGAAAATTGAAGGTTCGACCTTTGAATTAATGACACTTCTTCTTCTGGACATAAACTTGGGATATAAGTCTACATGGTATAAAGTTTGGTCTCAAACCCAAGTCAAACAAAGAACAAAGATAAACATGCCCAATGAGGAGGTAAAACATATCTCAAATTGGTTTCTCACTATCCTTAGGATCTTTCATATGAGTGTTTGATCAGCTCAATGTGAATTTATCTTGGCATTTCCTTTACTCTACACTGAATTGTTAGAGAGGAGAACGTATGGCGATGAGTTACAAGGATCTAGCTTGAGAACCGACGTTCCAGCTCGTCCTCCTCGTGATCTATCCTTGTGGCTGCTACACGCCGATAACAGCGTCATCCATGCCACATCGTCAGGCTCCACGGGCATGGCGTAGATCAGCTCCTCAGCATCCCGGAGCCGCCCAGATCGCCCGAGAAGATCAATCACGCATATGAAGTGTGGCAGCAATGGAGCACAATCAAAATCGCCCATCATCCACGAGAGGTATTTGATCGCCATCTCCAGCGACCCAGCGTGGCTGGATCCAAACAGCACGCACTGGAACGTGATATGATCCACGCGCGCGCCATCTTGGATCATGAGAGCAAACAGATCGAATGCCTCGACTGGATGCCCATTCTGGGCATATGCTGAGATCATCGCGTTCCACGAGACGCCACTGGGATTGGCGATCCGATCGAAGAGAGATCGCGAGCGATGGAGCTGGCCGCACTTGGCATACATGCTGAGCAGCGCGGTAGTCACGACGACGCTCGCGGATTCCAGCCCATCGGCGGAGAGATCCTCATGGATGATCTTTCCCGTGCTGGGCGACGCGAGGGTGGAGCACGAATCAAGCGCGCAAACGTATGTGATCTCGTCCGGGTGGACGCCCTCGAGGTCCATGAGCCGGAAGAGCTTGAGCGCGGACCTTGGATCGCCGTGCTGGGCGTGGGCCGAGACCATCGCGTTCCACGCCGCGAGATCCTTGTCCGGCATCTCATCGAAGACGAAGCGCGCGCGATCGATCTGCCCGCTCTGCGCCAACGCCGCGATCATCGACGTCCATGAGATCACGTCCCTGGCCGCCATTACCCAGAAGAAGCGCTCCGCGCGGTCGAATCGCCCGTTGCGCGCGCACGCCGCCACGATCGCGTTCCAGGCCGTCACGTCCCTCTGCGCCATCGCCGCGAAGATCGCCATCGCCGCGCCCAGATCGCCGGCCTTGCTGTACATGTCGAGGAGCGCGGTGGCCAGCACGGGATCGTCTAGCGATGATCCCTCGAGAGCGCTGTGATGGATCAGCTTACCAGTAGCAAGATCGCCGCTGGCAGCGCAGGCGCTAAGGATCCCCACGAATGTGATCCCGTCCGGCCTCGCGCCCTCGAGATCCATGCGCTTGAAGAGATCGATGGCATTACGCATTTGCCCATGCCGGGCATTTGCTGATATCAAAGCGTTCCAAGACGCCACGTCATTCTCAGGAGTATGGAGGAACAAATCTTCTGCTAGAAGAATCATACCCTTCTCTGCGCATGCGGTGATCAAAATAGTGTACGACACGACGCTTGCTTCCGGGATCTTCGCAAGAACAGATCTACCGTACAGAAAATCCCCACCTTGGGCAGTTGCTGTGAGGAGGATGTTCCACGAGATAAGATCTCTTTTGGGCATTTTGGCGAAGAGATCTCTCGCGGAGGCCGTGCGCCCTGTTTCCCCGTAAGCCTGTAGAATCGCATTCCAGGAAACGATCGTCCAGTAGGGGATCTTCGCGAAGCACTGCTCCGCGAGCTCGGACTGGCGCCCCAGCGCATAGGACGTGATGAGCGCGTTCCACGCGACAGCGTTGCGCTGCTCCATCTCATCGAAGAGCGCCCTCGAATCCTCGAAGCTCCCAGCCTGCGCACACGCCGCTAGGAGGATCGTCCACGAGAAGATGTTCGTGGAGGGCATCCAGGCGAAGATCTCCTTGGCAGTGGCGAGATCGCCACTCTCGGCGAAAGCCTGCGCGATCGAGTTCCATGACAAGGAGTCCCAGAAGGGCATCTTCTGGAAGAGATCGGTGGCGTCGCCAGCCATGGCCTTGTTCGCGAATCCCGTGAGGAGCGAGTTCCAGGTGACCACGTCCCTACTGGGCATTCGATCGAAGCAGCACCGCGCCCCCTCCAGATCGCCACTGTTGACCAGCGCGGTGGAGAGCGCCGTCCAGGAGATCACATCCCTCGCCGGCATCAGATCGAAGACCCTGGTGGCGTCGTCCACTCGCCCCGCGGTTCCACACGCCTGGATCATCGCGTTCCACGAGATCTCGTTGCGCTGCCGCATCGTCGCGAAGATCCGGCCGCTGGAATCCGCGCAGCTGGCGAACGCCTGGATCGCGTTCGTGCACGAGACGATCCCGCGCTCCGGGATCTGGCCAAACAGCCCGCGCGCCTCCTCCACGAATCCATTCTGGACGAACCCATTCATCATCGCGTTCCAGGAGACGATGCTTTGCTCCGGCATAGCGTCGAAGATCTCTTTCGCGAGATCCACCTCGCCATACTGCGAGAGCGCGCTGATCATACAGTTCCATGTCACGATCCCCCAGCACGGCATCCTGGAGAACGAATCCCTCGCTCCTTGCAAATCCCCGGCTTGGGTATTTGCTACAATGAGACTGTTCCAAGTCACATCGTTTCTCTCGGGCATTGCAGCGAATATCGCGGTGCTCTGCTGCAAATCTTTCGCTCTCGCGAATCCCTGGAGCAGTGCAGTCCAGCAAACAATTCCTCTCTCCGGAATCTTCTCGAAGAACTCGATCGATTCCACAAGATGCCCGTTCTGGGCATTTGCCGTGAGAACCATGTTCCACGCGTATGGATCGCGGGCGGGCATGGCGAAGAACACCGCGATTGCCTCGCTAGGGCTGCGGCAATCGCCATAGAGCTTGATGAGGAGGCGCTGGAGATTGGAGTCGGATCCATGGCCGGCGCGGAGGATCTGCGCTTGGAGCTCCCGCGCGTCCGCCAGGGATTTGGAGCGGCAGCCCTGGCGGATGAGAGCGACATAGCCAGCGGCGGTGGCTGGCTCCTCCGCGGAGATGGATCGGCGCCCAATCGATGTGGCGCTCGCTAGTGCCCGCATTCATCGTGGAATCGAATTTAAAACGCAAAGCGTTCACTAGGGTTTATGCTAAGGTAGAGAGGGAGAAAGAGAGGCTAAGAGCCCTAAATTTTGGGCGATTCCAGATGCTGCGTGTGGCGCTCGCGCGAGTGAGGGCGTGTCGTGGGGTAGCATGGCAGCTGGAATGCGCAATGGCGGCGCAGGGAAGAGGCATAGCAGGTCTGGGTTTTGCGTCGCCGTCGAGGGTTTTGCGTGGCGCCGACGACAAGGATATCGATGATCTCGGCATCGCCACGGGTCTGGAGCGCGAGGAGCTGGAATTCGCCAAAGCTGTGAGTGAGAAAAGCGGCTTCTTTTTTCTCTCTTTCCTTTTCTTGTGTGCTTACATTCTTTCTTGGTGGGCGATTTCCAGGGAAAGAAGAGATGGGACGAACCTCCGGTTGGACCTTTTGGAACTGCGGTGTGTTCTTCTTAAAGATCTCTCTTTGCGTGATCTTCTTTTACCTTTTGGTCTCTTTTTTATCTTTTTCTCCTTTTCTTTGCTCCTCCTCACAGGAAAAACCAGCAATCATCGAGTCTTGGTACGATGAGCGAATCGTTGGATGTCCAGGGGGCCCGGGAGGTAAGTTGTGATCAAACAACTTAATCAAAGCTTCAAGTTCTGGAGAACTTGACACATTCTTCTTCTTTTTGTAGATGACGAACACGATGTCATCTGGTTCAAGCTGAAGAAGAACGAGCGCCACGAATGCTCCATTTGTGGACAGATCTTCGAGGTAAAAAGCCGGTTTTTTTTTTGTTTCTCTTACTCGAATCGCTCTCTCTTTCAAAACTTACCCAAATTCTTGCAGCTCAAATGCATTGGACCTGGTGGACCTCCAGGAGGACACCATGGCTCTCATCACTAAGCTCGGGCTTCTTTTTTCCATGGTTGGAGTTTTTTCCTTTTCTCTGCCGCATGCTTCCACTGACAAAATTTTCTTCTCTTGGTTGTGGGGAGGCAAAGCAAACCGGCTTATAAAACAAGACTTTAGTGCACACAAATAACACCCGCGCTCCTTTTTTCCTTCTGATTGTAGTAGAGGAAGAACTAATTTGATGATAATGAAGAGACCAATAAAGTTTGATAGATTACATGGGTTTGGCGACAACCAATGAATTTTTGTGATTGCTTTTAAATAATGTGATGACTTACAACCATACAGGTATGTTTCAATCAAAATTTGGAGACTTCGACGTTGGCCAGATCTTTGGAATCGCTGGTGTTCTCACTCCATTCTTAACACCACCACTACCGTACGCCTTGTTCCTCATGTGGAATCCACTGCCATTCAGGAGCAATCGCGTCTGTTCTTTGTAGATCCTCTTATCGAAACTTTGGCTGGAACTTCGAGGACTAGATCCAGTTGAGCTGTTCTCGGCCACCACCGTGGAGGAAGAATCCATAGCCTTCTCCACCAGCTTCTTCCTGTTGTCTAGAAATCCTTCCACTCTAGCAATGGCGCCATCGAGTTCCGAGTTCCGGTGTTCTATCCCAAACCTCGCCTCTGCCAGCCTCCCTTGGACCTTCTCCTCCTTCCAAACCTCTCCCATTTGCAAGGCCTTCCTCGTCTCCTCGGCTTCTCGCCTAGCTGCCGATGCCTGCCTTCTAAGCTCTATAGCCAAGGCCTTGTCGTCCCCCACCTCCTTCGCTAGCTCGTCACACACGTCTTCTACCATCCGCTTGGAGTTTCTCTCGGCGACGATGTCCTTCTTTGCCTGCGCTATGGCCTTGCGGATCTCCAGAAGCTCGGCCTCCAGCTTCTGGTTGGCAAGCTCGAGGCTCTTGTTTGCGTTCTTCTCCTCCTTGAGCTTGTGCCTCATCGCCTGCAGCGAAGACGTGATCTTGTCCTGGACTTGAGACTCCCATAAGGATCTGCCATCCTCGTACCTGCTGGACAGCCGCTCCAGCTTCGACTTGGCAGCTGTGTGAGCCTTCTCGAGCCTCTCGACTGTTGTCCACGTTTTGAGAAGCTCCAAACGGAGTTTCTGGCTTGTATCCTCGACAGGAACAGTCTGCTGTTTCTTTTTCACCTGCAGACAAGGCATGCCGCTTTCAGTCGGAGTATACAAAACTGGCTCGTGAAAAATGGCAGAGGTCAGTCAAATCCTGAATCTAAATGAAAAAATGTTGGCAAGATATATCTGACAGATTACCATTCACATGCTGAGAAAACTTTGCAAACGCAAAAGAACCCAGAAAAAAAACGAAGGACAAGAACACTCACCTCAGGAGATTGCTGCTGTTGAACTCTCGCTGTTCGTGGAGTAGCAGCACGGGACGGACTAAGGCCGGAGACGAAATTCCTCGGCCTTCTCCCGTTATGATTCCGCTCGGGTTTTTTCTCCTCCTCCACCTCCTGCTTGCAATCCTTGACAAGCTCTTGCTTTCCGAGCGTGGCCTCCACCACAGCGGATGCTACCGCAGCCACAAAGAAAGGGTTGTCGTAAAACTTCCAGTTTCCCTGCTGGATTGCTGGAGCATCCGCCTTGGTACCTGAAGACCCCGTGGCTGCGGAGCGGCAATTGATACCTGGCATAGCTCAGCTCAAGCTACCATACCATACGAAGACGAAGAAAGAATACCGCCCAAGTTCTCCTTCCTCAAAGTTCCAAAAGTATTTCTCCGCCCTCTACCTCTACACCCGCATCCCAAAATCATCCTTCGCTACAAGAAAATTTCGTCTGTGGTCATTACTCCCGTCTGCAACTGATCCTTCGCAAGTTCCCATGAAACCTGTGTGTTCACGAGTCTAGAGATCTGCTTACACCATCACTTGAGGCACCCCTGTTTTTTCCTCCTTCTGACTGCACTTAAGAGGGGAGTAACCTCTGATCTGATGCCTTGGTGCTTGTTGCGAATTGAATGCACAGCCGAGAAACCTGTGTGTCCGCTGTCCCTGTCCCCAGTCTCTGTCCCGGGAGCCTGACAAGTTGTTTTCTCTGACGCTCAGCTTGTGAGCGTGATTGCATTCTTTTTCCACCGCTGCTCTCACCCTGCTTGCATGTACTCCACATAAGTAACTAGTTCCGAGAAAACTAACGAGAGGAGTTTACCCGTTGATTCCACCGAGGGCGGTAACTTGACACCGAGAGATTTTCGTTGTCCAGTTCGTGCATCGTGAACTTATGATAAGTTAACTCGTAGTGGGTCTGTACCTGGTGTCAGGATGAAGAACAAAACCAACAAGGAAAAAACAAAGATGTGAAAGAAAACTATGAGAAAATCCAACTTTCTAGCCTTGCAAGATCATCATCGAGGACGCAGGAGACTTTACTCAAAAGCACTGGTTTTTTCTTAGAAGGAGTGGATCGAACGCCACAAAGGAAGAGAAGAAAGAAGAAAAGAAATTAAAGAGAGTTATCACAGCACAGCACATCGCCACAATGCAAGCAAAATCCTCTCTCACTTGCCTTGCGGAGGATGCTGCACTGCTACTCTTATTCTCTCACTCATTCATCACCGGCTTGTTCTCGCTGGCCTTGGGCCGCTGCTCCTTTGGCTTCTGATCCTCATTCTTCCTGGAAATACCGAAAATCCAAGCCAAGAATCACCGCGCTGCTCGCTAGAAACCTAGAAATACCTCTTATCCGCCGCGCCCCCCTTCTGGCTGAGGAAGGACCGGAAGAGCGCCGAGTTCACGTCGTAGATCATCGTTCTCTTTCTCGCAAGCCCTAACCCTTGTCGCTGACGTGGCATTCGACGTGTCTTAAATAAAAGCCGTCGGATGCGATTAGGGTTTATCATTTGTAGGGTTCTTCGCGAGAGAGAAAAAGGAAGCGCGCGCCATGGCGAAGCATCATCCAGATTTGATCATGTGCCGCAAGCAGCCGGGCATTGCGATCGGTCGCCTGTGCGAGAAGTGCGATGGCAAGTGTGTGATCTGCGATTCCTACGTCCGGCCGTGTACCCTAGTCCGCGTGTGCGACGAGTGTAACTATGGATCCTACCAGGGGCGCTGCGTCATCTGTGGAGGATTGGGGATCTCCGACGCTTACTACTGCAAGGAGTGCACGCAGCAGGAGAAGGATCGAGATGGGTGTCCCAAGATCGTCAACCTGGGCAGCGCCAAGACCGATCTCTTCTACGAGCGCAAGAAATATGGATTCAAGAAGCGGTAGCCTCGGTGCTACAATCCAATCGATCGTTAAGGGTCAGTCGGTTGGATTGCTAGCTTCTCTGTAGCTACTGGAAAATTTTCTAGAACACAAGGGTGTATTTCTCGTTGCTCCTACTCTTGTCCTCTTGTTCGCTTCTTCTTGTTTGTAGATTTGTCGTTGGGTTTCTCGCTGGTCGTGTCTTTGATCTTCTTTTTCTTTGGTTCGCTTGTCTCGCCGTTTTGCTTCCGCTTTAGCTTCTTGAGCTCTTTGAGCTTCTTCGCTGGAGACTCGTCTTCGGCGAGATCTGTGGCTTCATCATCTTTGCCAGCTTGTTTCCTCTTGGGTTTCTTGTGCTTCTTTGGTTTCTTCTTTCTGGGCTTTTCTTCTTCGTCCTCGTCGTCTTCTTTGTCCATGTAGTCTACCTCGTTCTCGATCTGCTTCCTCTTGCCTTGCGATTGCTCCTGGCTCGCTGTTAGGAGGGGCTCCTCGGCTGAGAACTCCGAACTTCAGTACACAAAAGAACCATAGAAACTTTGACGAACTTACATGTCTTTGCTTGATCATCGAAAACCACAGCCACCAGCGGTTGTTTCAGAAAAATCTACACAACCAAGTTAAGCAAAAAACAATGATTTCGGAAAAAAAGAGTGCCTCACCCTTCCGAGTAATTGCCTGCTCCGAATGTCATGAATTCTCAGAAACCGATCCAGGCCTGTCCAAACTTTGAAACTCAGCACCTTCTTTAGCCAGTAAAACAAGCTTACCGCAAGACGCGATCAAAGGCAGTGAAGGATGCCTTGCAATGCATCGAACACTTCCAGCGAGCTTTCCCTTGAATCCTGACAGGAGCTTTCCTGCAAATGGGAAAACGAGTTTTCCTTCTGTAAATCTTTGCAAGAACAAACATACCAGTTCGCATGTCAAACGAGGCCATACTACCGGTCGAGTTTCCCACATAGACCGTAAAACCATCTGGATCTTCAGCTACAGCTTTGATAGGAGATTCTTTGAACGTTACCGCTACAACCGGCCTTTTCTGAGCGTGGACGTCATACAAACGAACCTGTGCATGCGCGTTAATGTCAGGAACAAAATTGGTTTTGGTTTTGCAGCGAACCTGATAGTCTCCTGTCCCGATTACCAGCTTGCGATGGTCATCCCTGAGAAGAAACGTAGAGGCCGTGACATAAGGTAGCGATACCAATCCGATATTGTTTGGTCTGGGCTGATCGCAACGAAAACGAGCTTGTAAGAAATCGGATCGAAAAGGAAAAAGCTTTCAACAACCTTCTTCGCTTCCCAGACTTTCGAGCTGCTTTCGAGATCCCAGAGACTCAATTCCACCCGGTTGCTGGACAACCAAACGAAGTTGAGGCATGGAAAACTAGCAAAAGACAAAGCAAACATACCCTCCGAACGACGCAACGTTTTCGCTGTTGTGCACTCTCATGGATAGAACGTCTCCAGATTTGCATACGTTCCATCTCGATACTGGAGACGGAGGACCCTCGTCGCCAAAAGCTCGCAACGCTGCGTCACCATTTCTACTGCAGCTCAACACAGATTGTCCGCTGAAAAAGTAAGAGAATTCTAGCTCGTTACATAGCTACAAAGCTAGCAAAGGTTCAAGCTTACCACGGACCATCTTCCCTGAAGAGATGGAGACCGGATATGGCATCACTCTCTCTTTCTTTGGCGTCTAAGTTTAAAGAGGCTAGTTGTGCGCAGATACTTCCATCCGTGGACTCGAGGATTTCTATCTGCGACAAAGCCACTTGGAACAAAAACAACGAAAGGAAACGCACGACTTACATCTCCGGATTTCCTCGCCACTGCTAACCTCTGCAAAGCAAAAAATAATAAGCAAGTGCCACAATAAGAGCGAAGAAGAGCCATACATTACTGGAATTCGAGTAGGAAATCGCTGAGATTCCAGCGCCAGGCTGGCCCCATCGCGCGACAACATCAAGCGGCCCATTCTCTGCCCCATTCTCGCCGCGCGCTTCGACAACTGGAGCCAAGTGATTCCAACATCAAAATCTCGAGAATCGCGAGCTAGCTAATCGGCAGCTGACCTTTCACGAACCCGAGCGCATCGCAGCAGATGGCGCGGAGCTGCGCGGGGCATCCCGGAGGCTCCAGCGTCGACGTCCGCGGCATTGCTAAAACCCTAAATCCCGCAAGGAACCCTAAGGTATATCTCCAGGAGCCCTAAATGAAGATTAAATTTGAACCTACCTTTAAGAACCACCGCGAAACCGACGGCGGGGATTGAGTGCATGACAAAGGGAATATACCTTTTGTCATTTTGCCCTAATCTCCCTGCTAAGAACTAAAGAATGAGAGTGACAAGGATGCATTGAACGGGAGGTTCTGGAAAAGGGGGCAAGTTGGAGATTTGCGAGCACGGCCAGATCGGTGAGCAATATTTCCTTGTTTTTGCTACTTCGTTGAAAGTTCTTCGTGGGTTTTTGGTGCTGCGCATCTGGGCTGTGTTGGGTCCCTCCAAGATTGAATTTTGCTTTGGATGGTCGGTCTTTGGTTCATCGCCGGTCAGAAAGATCTCACTCAAGCTTGTTTTTCGCTGTAGCAGAGTCGCGAGAAGAGAGGATTTAAACACGCGGGATGCATGGACACTTTGTAGCTTCCACGCTTCTTTCCAGGTGTGTTTGTGTGTTTGTGTTATTCCATTCTTTCCTCGATTCATCCATTCATTCATTCGTCTCACCGATCGATCGCATCAGTCGGTCCTTTGCACAGAAGAGCCGTGAGAGTTTTGCCAAATCTCCGTGCTTTGAATCCAGTCCCGCCCGGAGCGTTCCTTCCACACTCCCGCAGCAAACCAGTCCAAAGGAAATCTGGAAGATTTCTCTGGAAGAAGAAAAAAAAAGAGGTTTTTTACCATAGAACTTCGATGGCTGGCCCCTTCCTTTGTGAGGTTTGTAGGTGAGCGATTCATGCCTGCTCTTCGTGGGTGGTTTTACGTCACTCCTCTCTTCTGTGCTTTGTTTATACTATCTTGCTTGTACTGAAGCAACCAAAGTTTTCCCAGGCCTTGTCCTCTTTCGAGAACACTTTGATTCCTCCTGGTATTTGATATTGGCTTGGCATCATCACCTCTCTTTCTTTCTCTTGCTCTTGTAGCTTCTTGGAGCTACACTGTTCCTCGGTAATGTGCCCTCTTTCATCTACACTTTCCTCTGCTGCATGAATTTCTTTATTGTCAGTCACAGCTTCTCTTTGTTCTCTCTATTGTTAAGATCTCTCGAGAAAGGCGAGATTGTTTGCTTCCTTTTCATGTGCAAAAGATCTTCCGAGACTTGCAACATTCATCACAAAGTTTGTGCTCGCACTGCATCATCCTTAAGATTAGCTATCACCTCTTTGTTTGCGTGGCTTTTGAACTTATCCACAAGGGGCAAGCTTCTCAAAGATCTGGTTTATCTGTGTCAGAATTAGGAGTGACGCGTTTCGATCTGGCAGCGAACACCGAGGTTAGAGCTATCTTTAAAACGTTTCTAGAAAGAACGCTTGCTGAGGAGGAGCAACGCAAGGATGTGCCGTGGTATCACCTCCGACGCTTACATCTACACTCCATATCCAACTTCCGACTATGGAGGACAGAGTAAGCTCCCCGAGGAGTGGGAGTTTGACAATGGCCCGGCTTACGAGATTGACGAAGTTCCAGTGCCCGACTTGGACGCTGTTCTAAAGAACGACAGTGCCGCAGATGAGATCTTTAAGTCGTGGTCGGCTTGGGAGGCCTCGGTCCAGGAAAAGGAGGATGCTTCTCCGGCTCTCCAGAGCGAATCCTCCGAGTATGACAAGCTCGACTCGCCGCCGCTCTCGGAGAGCTCCGAGGTTGGAGACAATGCCATCCAGATCTCGGAGATGAAGCTCATGGAGACGAGCGACGTGGTGGCGGAGCTCCAGCAGAACGAGAACGAGATGGTGGTCGAGAAAAGTTCCACTCGTGGCGAGTTCAAGCTGGAAGAGGAATCGAAAACGCGAGGTAAGTAGTGTTTTGTCTTCGGTAAAAGCTGGTCTTATTCTTCTTTCGCAGGCTCTAAGAACGCTGCTACTGTGGTCTCCGGTCCAGACACGACGATGGAAACGCCCGAGAGTTGCAAGAAGAAGCACTACCGAGGTGTTCGTCAGCGGCCTTCTGGAAAATGGGCCGCGGAGATTCGTGATCCTCACCAGGGAGTCCGACTCTGGCTGGGATCCTTCGCGACGGCGGAGAAGGCTGCGCTAGCTTACGATGCTGCCGCTCGGAGGATCAAAGGCAAAAAGGCCAAGCTCAATTTCGTGGACAAGGATCCGGAGCTCCTGCTGGAGCCCAAGGACTTCTACGCAGTAAACAAAGGCATGAAGAAGAGGAGATCATCGCCCAAAGCAGCAGCAGCAGCAGTGGTAGCAGCTCCTTCGCAGCAAAGTTTTGTCCAAAACCAGCTGCCACTCCGCCCCGGAGTTGTGGTGACAGATCTTCTCGAGACGCTCAACTTGAAAGGTTTGCAGGACAAGGTGGATGTCAAGGGACTCCAGGACAAGCTCTTGCAGTTCTTGCTCAAGGAGCTGCTCGAGTCCAGGAATGGTGGCGGTGGCAAAAAAGACGTGATTTTGGGAACCGCCAGAGATGATGGCCATGGTCACGGTTGTGGTACGTCCTCTTCTTCCTCGTCTGTGACTTTGGATCCCGAAGAGATTACTTGGTAGAAGATTGGAGATCACCATGGTGAAGAGAAGAGGTTTTCTCTTGCAATGCTTCGCTACCTTCTATATAAAAGTAAGCTTCCTTCTCAACTTGGTACTCACTCTCCGACTTGGAACGAGTCTAGAGTTGTAAAAATTTGGAAAGTTTGGATAAATCCAGTGCTACAAGGAGAACTCCAGAAACGAGAATAAAAAAGACAACTTTGCTATCAAGTGAACACTTTCATATATCTCAAGAAACTACTCTACAGTTCGTGCGGATTCGCCCCTGGTTACCAGAGAGCACACCGATGGTGCTCATCTTTACCATTGCATTCACGAACTTAAACCTCCAAACGGCCTCGTTGGCCTGCTTGTCCTCGACACTGTCTCGAGTGTCCAAGTCCGCGAACAAGATCTGGTCCGACGTGAGTATGCTCCTGCGAAGGCTGAGCGATGTGTAGTAGCCATTGTCGAAGAAGTTGGGAGAGAGAGGGTCGAGAGCTATGGATTTGCTTTTAGGATCCAGGAAGTCGCTGCCTTTGGGACACAGAGATTTGAGAAGTTTGGCCATGTTTGGATCCAAGTCGGGATCCTGGACCGAGGTGGTGCTGAAGTTATACAACCTGTTGACGAAGGAGAGGCAATGCGCGATTCCAATCGTGTGAGCTCCTACGATGGAATAAAAAACAAACTTTTTGGCGATTGAGAGATGAGCATGATGGAAATTTTCACCTGAGAGAGTGATCATTTCTTCCTGTGTCATTCCTTTGCGAACAAAACTCTTGGTCAGTTGATCGACGTTGAACAGCGGCGATGGAAGATTTGCGCCGACTTGGTCTGCTCGAGACACGGTTCCATCTCTTCTTCCACCGAGGACGTCCCAGCGAGGTCCTCCAACCTGTGTTTCAAAACCACCAGTTTACGCAAGCTCCTGAAGAAAACTACAACAAAAAATCACTTCTTTTTTCATTCTATACCTGTGAGACGGCGTCGCGAGCAGCGTACGTGAGTATATCAGCACAAGACACTGTTCCAGGACACCGATCCTCGAGCCGAGCCTTTGCATTGTCAATGACTTCGAACCCACGAAGACCGAAGTTTGGAATCGCATCCTTCTCGGCCTTGTTGTTCCCGGTAGAATCGACGAGAACCGAGCCATCGCATCCCTGCCAAAGATGGAGATCATGAGAGAAGCTCGACAAAAGAATCAAAAGCAAAGCTTACCCGGACAAAGCAATCGTGGAAGTGAAGACGTAGAAGCCCAGCAGCGATTCCAGGATTAGTCGCGACTGCCTGAGCCACCGTGAACTGGACGACGGACTCGGCCTCGGGGCACGAGTCGGCATAAAAACCCAGCCTCAGCTCGCAGCGTGAGATCTCCGCGAGCGCAAGAAACACGACGACGACGAAGCAAAAGCTCATGGACTTCATGCCGGATAAACCGATGATTGCCCAGCACTCACTCCACTCCACTCCACTCCAGCATTGTCACCACGAAAGATATAAGCAGTGGTAGCAGCACAGCAATGCATCATGGTGCGTCCACTTTGAGCGCGTGAGTGGAAGTCACACTCAACAATCCAATTCCTGGCAGTGGAGTGGCCCCTGGAGTGTTTGACGGGAGTGTCCAACGCTTGTCATTGATCATCGGACCAGAAGATCTAAGTTTGCGCGATCGAGCGAGCAGTAGCGAGCAGGATATAAGCCGAGGAATCTCGCGGAGAGCTCTTCATCACTTCTTTCGCAGCGCGTGCGCCAAAGCCGGGATTTTTCACATGAAACCGGCTGGCCGAGAGGAGTGATCCCCACACGGTGTCGTCGGGTCCCCCCAAAGGCATGGAATTCACGATCTCTTCCGCGACCTCCAGCTGCCCAGCTCGTCCAAGAATGTCCACAGCGATCGCATAGTGTTCTTTGGTGGCAGACACTTCCGTATGATCCTGGGTCATCCGTACGAAGAGTTTCAAGCCTTTCTCCAAGTTCCCGGCGTGCGCGCACACGGCGAGGAGGCTCACGACGCAGATTTCGTTGGGCTCTACTCCGCTCGCGAGCAGCTGCGAGTAGAATGCGACGCCATCGCTGTGATTGCCGAGTTGCGCGTACGCTGCAAGCAAAGAGCTCCACGAAACCACGTTCTTCTCCGGCATTGCATCGAACAGTCTCTTTGCGTAGAGCAAATGCCCATTCCGGGCAAATCCAGCGACGATGGCGTTCCATGAGATCACGTCTCTCCGGCTCATCCGATCGAACAGCATCTTCGCTTGGATCAGCTCCATTCCCTGGAGAAACGCGCTGATCATTGCATTGCATGAAACCACGTCTTGCTCCGGGATCGCATCCAGGAAATGGCGTGACCCACTCGCTGTTCTTTGCGCCGCCATGCGCTCAAACGTGATCCTGGCTAGATCCTGGTGCCCAAAGCGCGCGTAGGCCGTGACCATCGCTGTCCAGCTCACGGCATTGAGCTCTTCCATGGAATCAAACAGAGCTTTTGATTCCTCCAGCTCGCCCCTCTCGGCGTAGGCCGTGATCATCACATTGCACGCGTCGATCGATCGGCAGGGCAATCGCTCGAACAAGCCCCTCGCGGATTCCAGATCGCCCACTCGCGCGTACGCGCCCATCATCGTGTTCCACGAGACCTGGCTCTTCTCGGGAAGATCCTCAAACATCTCCCTCGCGCGATCGATCTCGCCAGCCTCGGTATACCCCGCGATCATCACATTCCACACCACCGCATCCCACTCCAGCATCCGATCAAACAGCTCCCTCGCGCGATCCATCTCCCCGGCCTGTGCTCTCGCCTGGATCATCGCGGTCCACGACACCACATTCCTCTCGGGCATCGCGCCGAAGATCTCCCGCGCGCGCTCGAGATCTCCCCGCGCGACGCACGCCTGGAGGACGTTGTTCCACGAGACCACGCTCCTCTCGGGCATGGCAGCAAAGATCCTCTCGGCCTCCTCAACTCGCCCGCGATGGGCGTACGCCGCGAGGATCAAGTTCCACGCCGCGATGTCGCTGGCGGGCATACAATCAAACGCGATCTTAGCGTCCTCGGGACGAGCGCTCTGGACGTAGGCCTGGATGAGAGCGGTCCAGCACGCGATGTCGTGCTCGGGCATTCGATCGAAGAGCGCCTTCGCGGTGGCGAGATCGCCGTTCCTAGCGCAAGCATGGAGCATCGCGTTCCACGAGACGAGATTCCTCTCCTCCATCGAGAGAAAGATCGAGAGAGCGTCACTGATCAGCCCCGACTCGCCCAGAGCGGTGATCATCGACGTCCACGACACGACGCTCCACTCCGGCATAGAAGCAAAGATGTTCTTCACGGAGTAAAGATCCCCATTCTTGGCATTTGCGTAGATCAAAGCGTTCCAAGTCATAACATCCAACATCGGCATTTGATCAAACACGGCTTTGGCTTCGTCAACGTTTCCGGATGCCGCATAGCACTGCACAAGCGTCGTCCACGAAAAGATGTTTTTTTCCGGCATTTGGTCGAAGATGTTCCTAGTTAACAGCAGGTGCCCGGTTTGGGCGAATGCTGCGAGTAACGTTGTCCACGACACAACGTCGTGCTGCGGCGTTCCTTCAAACACTCTTTTCGCCTGATCCAGATGCCCGTGTTTAGCCAGCGCTTGTATCATCGAGTTGCACGAGACGAGATTGCGGCTGGGCATCAAATCGAAAACATCCTGCGCTTCCCGCAGATGCCCATTCTGGGCATACGCCGCAATGATGATGTTCCACGAGAAATCGTTGCGGGCGTGTGGGGGGATGCGATCGAAGACGCCGCGGGCCTCGCCAGGGCTGCCGCATTTGCCATACATCTGGATGAGGAGATTGGCGATGTAGCGATTGCGGGCGTGATCGCTGCTGTCGACGACGCGGGCGTGGAGGCGCCGGGCGGCCGCGAGGTCCCTGCAGTTGCCGCATTCCTGGATTTGCGTCGCCAGGGATTGAATCGTCGACGTGCTCATCGCGACGTCTCTTCGTCATGCCAGGGTGTGTAGAAAAAGTCCGTGGTAAAGATTTGACTATCTTTGAATTATTTTAAACTTCCTGCATTGTCTTTTTATTTTTCCAATTATGTGAGATTCTCTTTGGATTATCTTAAATTTGCAGCACTGTTTGTTTGGTTGGAGACAATGAAGAACAAATCGAGTTTTCTTTTAATTTCTTTTTGATTATGGAATTCGCCCACGTCTCTGGTTCTTAATTTTTAATTAACACTACTCGTTACGATTGTCGTGCTTTAGGTAAAGGCCAATATGCATCAGTCGACAACACCTAGAAATCCGGATATTTAATCTCAATTAACTGAATAAAGTGAAAGTTAAACAAAGAAAAAAGGTTATACTTGCCTGAAGTTGGAGCTGCATGAATTTGACATAATTTATAGCTTTCTCAAGCATGGTTACAAGGTCTACCTGCATTTGTCAAAGAAAGTTTCTATCAAGATTTTCCTCGTATCATCGAAGTTTCTTTACACAAACCTTGGAGCCATTTGGAACCAAGTCTTGCAAGATCTTCAAACGCTGGCTTATTCGTTCACGCCTTTGCTGCAAAATCAAAAAAAAGAAAACCAGCTCATGAGTTTGATCTGGTCTAAGATCTCCAGACTCCTCTCTCACCCTTGCGGCGATGCTTTGCGGATCATTGGCAGTCCCTTGCCTCGATCTCGGTTTTAAGTTCGTGTTGAGAGCAGTCGTGCAACAAGAAGAAGCCGGAGATGAATCGATCTGATCACCCAATAGAGCAAGAAAATGAGTTGTTTATCGAGATTCCGCGGTCCAGACGTGCGTACCTTTTCGCGTTTGGAGAGAGCGTTCGTGGTGTTTTGATCGTCCGCGCTTCTCTTCCTTGTTGGGCTTGAGCATGAGTTTGAGATGATCCTCGGAGCCCCAGGTTGATCAAGCGCCTGGGAAGATCCGAGCGGCGGCATTCTCCGATTGGCATCAGTCAAGTAATTCACGTAGAGCGGCGGATGTTCCATGAGGCTGAGATACTTCTCGTCCAGAGGCTCGACTTGGCAGTAGTATGCAAGCTCTTGTCCATGGAAATCTTCCGGATTTCTTTGATCTTGTGAGTGATCGTCAAGTGGAGTTAGAAGAGAAGAATTGCCAAACGAGGGATCACCCATCAAAGTTTGCTGGAGCTCTAGTTGCGCCTGGAAGCTCTGATTAAACTCTAGAGGATGGTACAAGCTCTTGGGAGCAATTGAGCTGCATTGCGTGTAGCCATGGGAGTTTACCGGCGAGGAATCCTCCACCAGAGGCGGTGGGAGGTCCGGCGAGAGCAAATCGAGAGAGCGGCAGCAAACCTGGGAGTAATCGAGGAAAGAAAAGTCACCGGGATCGCAGCTTGATCTGCGAGAGCTGCTGGAATTGGTGATGCTGGTGAAAGATGGCGAAGAAGAGCTTCTACTTCTCCTCACAACATCCATGAAGGATCTCTTGCTCTTGTTGTTGGATAGACTTGAAGTGCCAGTGATAATCTGGGCATAAACTTTCCTTGGATCTAAGAAGTTGTGTTCTTAGTAGAATGAGAAAAATTTGCGCGTTTGTCAGGGATCCCAGGCCAGGGCATTTATATCAAAGTCTACTTACTTTGGTGAAAATATTTTTAATCTGGCCTATGGTTAAACTCCAGATTTACTGATGTAAAATGTCAAACCCTCGTGTGCTCCTCCGCAAGCGTGCCACAGAAGTCGTACGTTCCGGATTTTCTACCCATATTTCTTCCGTGGAATGGTTTCAATCGCTCGCATGCCTCTGTGGATTTTGTTTTTTTTTTTCTTGGGGGACACTCCCATGTGGACTTAATCAAACCATATTTTGATAAAAAATGTAGTGATCCACTTCACTCCACCTTTGCAATCTTACGTAGAGATTTTGTTGTTTTGCTGCCTAAAGTATCAATGGAAAACATGTGATCCGCGCTAACAGGCAAACGGAATCGTGTACCATTAGTGACAAGCATGTCCGAAAGGGCATAGAAAAGTTACGGCTCATGGTTCACGCAAAATACTTGTTTACCAGCTTTTAGACCTAATGTTGCCCTAAAAGCAGGGGAACACGTGGCATGCAAGCATTGGCCCCATATCTCCTTGGAAGCCCTAGATATGGGGGAATCGATTAGGGTTTTTGGGTGCGTGAGATTCATTCAAATGGCATCCATGTGTCCAGGTGAGACGATTCAAATCGGCGCCCGCGCGATCGCGCTCATTGTGATTGAAATCTAGATAGGGAAGTGGAGGATGGGATCGCCGCCCCGCTCGCTTGCAATGGCAGTGCGAATCGTGTGAACGACGACTCGGACGATGATAAGCCTCAATCCTTCGGCGTGAATAAGGGAGCTCCAGCAATGGATCTTAAGCGCCAAGTCAAGGACGAGGAGCAGCCAAATGGATCGTCCTCCAGATTGGAGGCTTCCAGCAAGCCCAGCAGTTCCAAAGTTCCTTCTCCTGGCAGTGCGACCAAGCCTGCTCCCTTGAAAACTTTCGCAAAGCGCTCGCTTAAATCGCTGGAGAGCCCGGAGAGCGCTCCCAGGAAGAAGGCCAAGACCGAGGTAGACGATGGCGATGGTGGCTCTTCCGTGAGGAGGCTCATTGAGGCGTCGAGGAAGCCTGGGAAGATTGACGCTCCCAAGAAGATCGATGCGTCGAAGAATGCAAAGGTGGCCGTGAAGAAGGAAGCCGCGAGCTCCTCCAGGAAAGTTGACGGTTCCAAGACGAGGAAGCGAGTTCTAGACGAAGCGGAGACGAAGAAGGCAGTCGTGAAGAAAGCCAAAGTCGAGAAAGAAGAGAGCGAGGAGATGGAGGAGGAGGAGGAGGAGGAGGAGGAGGAGGAAGGGGAGGAGGATGATTTCGAAGGCTCGGAGGTTTCAAAGAAGGTTGTCATGAGGAAGTCGGCATCGTCTTCCGGCAAGAAGAAAGTGGTGGAGACGAAGATCACGAAGAAAACGGTTGTGAAGAAGGGAGGAAAGGATGGTAATGGTGGACAGAAGTGGACGACGCTGGAGCACAATGGTGTCATGTTTCCTCCGGCTTATCAGCCTCATGGAGTGAAGATGCTCTACAATGGCGAGCCAGTGGATCTTACTCCGGCACAGGAAGAGGTTTGCGGGCTTTTGTTGGTTGTTTCCGAGTTTAAGCGACTGAATTGTTTGTTCTTGTGGATACAGGTTGCCACAATGTATGCCGTGATGAAAGACACGGACTACGCAACGCAGGCCAAGTTTAACAGCAACTTCTGGCAAGATTGGAAAAAGATTCTCGGTTCAAACCATGTCATAAAGAAGCTGGAGCTTTGCGACTTCACTCCGATTTACGACTGGTACCAAAGCGAGAAGGAGAAGAAGAAGCAACTGAGCTCTGCGGTTAGTTTTCTCTGCTAGTATGCTCGGCTTAGACTGAAGCTTTGTTTTCTTTTATCAGGAGAAGAAGCAACTAAGAGATGAGAAGGCCAAGGCGGAAGAAAAATACACCTGGGCGCTTGTTGACGGGGTGAAGGAAAAAGTACGTGCATCTCTTTCTTTGAGCTAATGGTTACTTACACTGCATTTTCAGGTTGGAAACTTTCGAGTGGAACCTCCAGGCCTTTTCAGGGGGCGCGGTCAGCATCCTAAGATGGGAAAGCTCAAAAGGCGAATTTTTCCCGAAAATATCGTCATCAATATTGGAAAGGGTGCTCCCGTTCCGGAGTGTCCGATGCCCGGTCACAAGTACGTACGACGCTTTTTATGCGAGCTCTTTATGAGTTTAACTTGGACTTTACTTTTCAGCTGGAAAGAAATTCGGCACGACAATACAGTCACTTGGCTCGCGTTTTGGAACGATCCGATTAACGAGAAGGAGTTTAAGTACGTGTTTTTGCACCCAAGCAGTAGCCTCAAGGCTCAGAGTGACATGAAGAAATACGAGAAGGCTAGACAGCTGAAGGTTCGGTGTTTTTTGTAGCTTTGCCTCGCTTCACTCATGCGATTTTTACAGGATTACATTGACAAGATCCGGAAAACATATACGAAAGACTTCGGCTCTACAGATCCCACAAAAAGACAGATTGCAGTTGCAACTTATCTCATAGACAGGCTTGCCCTTAGAGCAGGAAATGAGAAGGATGACGATGAAGCTGATACCGTAGGCTGCTGTTCTTTGAAAGTAGAGCACGTCAAACTTTTGGATTCGAAAAAAATCGAGGTAAGGTCTCCTCTCGCTTTTTAATTCCGTCTCCTAACCTTGTTTCTTTTGCAGTTCGATTTTCTCGGAAAGGATTCCATCAGATATCTCAACGAAGTAGCTGTCGAAGAGAAAGTTTTCAAGGCTATAGGGGATTTTCAGAAAGGTAGTAATTCTGGTAGCATTGCTTCAAACGCTGCTGGTTGATGAATGCAGGGAAGAAAAGCGGCGATGATTTGTTTGACAGGCTAGACACAAACAAATTGAATGCTCATTTGAAGGAGTTCATGCCGGAGCTCACTGCAAAGGTTTTCAGAACGTATAATGCCTCCATCACTCTCGATAACCAGGTTTGGCTTGAAGTGTTTTCTTTCATGCTAGTTCTTTAAGTGCAAATCGCCAGCTCGAGCATACGGATGGCTCAATCGTCCCGGAAAAAATTGGAGACTACCAACGAGCAAACAAAGAGGTGAATAGCCTTGCAAAGGAAACGTTTGGTCCCTTTACAGAATGTCTTTGCAGGTGGCTGTTCTCTGTAATCATCAACGGACGGTGTCCAAGAGCCATGGCGCCCAGATGGAAAAACTCGAAGGAAAAATGGCCGAGCTAAAGGTTTTGAGTTACTTTTCTTACTAGTGGCATTGTTCTAAGGCTTTGCACCTCAGGCTCTGCGTGAAGAGATTGTTATAGACTTGGAGAGAGCTAGGAAGGGAAAGCCTCCTCGGAAGGATGAAGATGGCAAGACAAAGAGGAACCAAAGTCCAGAACAGTAAGTAACGCTCATACTTTCTCTCTTTGCTCAAGTTGGATCGAAACAACACAGGCTGGAGAAGAAGCTAGAGCAAACCGATAACAAGATCCAAAAGATGGAACTGGACATGAAAGTTAAGGACGATCTCAAGACAGTCGCTCTGGGAACTTCCAAGATCAACTATCTGGACCCACGAATCACCGTCGCTTGGTGCAAGAGGAACGACGTACCCATCGAAAAGGCAAGTAGCAAAAAAAAAAAGAAAAAAAAAAAAAACCTCGCACGAATGACTGACCTGTGGAACTCTTGACAGATTTTCACGAAATCTTTGCTCCAGAAATTCACCTGGGCATTGGAAGCGGAACCAACATTCCGGTTCTAACCCAAGAGAAATCCGTGCCGGTGTACCATTATGTGAAGAAGGTTTTGAGCAAGAAAACGTTGACAACGTTGGAGAGAACTCAGTATGGACCGCAAAAGCAATCGTTTGCTCGTCGCTCGTCCCAGGCCTCAACCTGCATTGACACCACCACCATTCGAGTTTTTTTTTATTTTTTTTTGGTTTTTCAGTCTCATCGCCTCGGCTCGAGAGGAAAAAGAGGATTCTTTACCCATTCGATGGGGCACAATGACTTGTAAGCTCGCCTGTACTTCTCACATCTCGAATCGCCCTCGCCATTTTCTTGGATGCATCTAACACAAGAAGAAGGAAAATTTGATCTCTTCTCTCCAAATCCTTTCCACTCACTTGTGATACTCCACGTATTTCGTGAAGCAATTCTTCGTTTGGTTGGTCACTGGGAAGCGCGAGTCGGGAGGGCACGTCTTTATATCTTTGGCCTGGAAAGCAAAAAAAAAGGAAATCAGTCGATCCAAAGCAATTGATCCGATGGACGCACCGTGATCTTTGGTGTCGATTTCTTGCCGTCCTTGTCTCCTCCTTTCTTGGCCTCCGCCGAGGCCACATTTCCCTCCATGCCATCGTCTCCATGCCCGCAAAACCCTTCCCATTCAGCTGAATCATCGTGACCTTTCAAAACGCGCCCATCCAACGGCTGCAGTTTGCCCTACCGTTAAGTTCGTTCGTCACTCGAGAGCCTCGTCAAATATCAAACTCGTCAGCCATGGAGGATCAACTTCTACACAAAACTCTCAGTCAGGATTTGCTCAACCTGTTTGAACCTTCTCAAGCTTCCTACAAAACGCTCGTTAACCGGGTTCCAAATTTTCCAATTTACAAAGGAGGAACGCAAAATCTCCTCAAAACTTTTGCTTTTTCTGTACAGAGCTTAGTCACTCAGCTGAGATCGAATCCAGCTTCGGCAGCTATTGCATAGAGTAGCTTCTCACGAATCGTATCCTTGCTACAAGAAACAAGGAAAGAACAGATCAATGAACTGCTACAAGTAAGAAAAATAAACACCAACGAACCTTTTGTAAGGAGGGAGTTTCAGGAGGTTCAAACAAGTCGCCGACGTGGGGAGTCTGTCAAGAGCCTCCTCTGCTGCGCCTTCGGGAGCGGTCCTGGAATCGAAGGACAAAAGAGAGAAGAAGAAGAACAAGTGAAGAAAATGGTAAGGTGAAAGAGCTTACTTCTGGATGCAAAATCGAGGCTCCAGGTATTTGAAGCCGAGCAATGGCCCTCTCGAGCATCCTGTAACGAACCTGCAAATGAAAACGGTCACGAACACGAAATGAAAACAAACGGACACGAACTTTAGGAACTTCCGCTGCATATTTGCATCCAGGGCTTTCACGGTGTCCCAGAACATCTGAATCACCGGATGGTTCTGCCAAAAGAAAAGAAGTATTCGCTCGCCACGCAATGAAAGAGAAGTATTCTACCTCATGATAGCCACCACCATAGTTCACGTTGTGATGGAGATCGTCTATGTCCATGGCATCTTCAAATCCGGAGATAAGGATCTGCCACAGCAACAACATAAGTGCTTTTTCCAACCAGCGGACATGTGAAACTAAACCTGGAGTTCGTGCTCGTTGAACATATCTAACCATTCCGGGCTTATAAGTTGTTGAAAGCCACGCAAAAAATGGTTACTTTGTTGCCGGATCTGCAGGAACAAGTGACTGACTGAAAAACCAAGCAGCACTAACCTGGTGATTCAGACGGTGATTTGCTACCAAGTGAATGTATCGGTAGACGTTGTCTTTGGTGACTTGGATATCCTTTCCCCCTGGAAGAAGCTCTACCTCTAATTGCTCTCCATATTCATTGTCTTCAATTACGAAATAGAGGCCCAGCTGCTGCACCATATTTGGGTTGTTCTGTAAAACAAGCTCGTCAGGCCAAAATCAAAGAGCTCAGTTATACCTTCAAGAAAAGTAGATTCTTATAAAGCTCTGGATCCAGCGAAGGTAAATCGTGTAGGTAATTGTGCCTGCGAAAGAAGAGACTAGTAAGCTAACACGTAAAGCAGCTGTAACTTACTTCTTCCTCAGCTTACGCAGGAAAAACATGGCAAAAGGTATGTCCACGAGAATCCCTTCAAACATTGCCTGCTCGGTGAATGTTAACGAGGAAATAAAAGTTCCTATGCAAGCTCACCTTTCCCAATATTTTGCCAAAAAACTCGAAGTATTGCAGATGCTCGTCGTTGACCATATGGGACGCTGGGTTAGGATACAAAAGATGGTCCGCAGTTTCCTGGAATACGTTGTAAGGGCTGAGCGCGAATGCAGGTAGTTACCTTGAACAAGCCATATTGTATGTCAAAACCTGCACTGGTTATGTTTTCCATAAAATCTTTAAAAATGCCGCCTCCGTCGACTCCGGCTTCCTCAGCACCGAGTTCATTGACGTAAGAAACTCTGATCTGTACAAGCACGAACGTCAGAACTAGAACTAGCTTCAAATTTGTGAACCCATTACCGTTCCCCGCAGAGACTCGTCGCTGAGCACATTGAACTGCATAAAGGCGTCCTCGATAATACGATCTCGTTGCACTTTGATTTGAAGTCCATATTGGCGGGACGTGTTTTGCCTTGCAGCAGTTCGTTGAGCCTGCAGTTACGCATTACAGGAAGCTAGTAAAGGGAGACGGGGAATTACCGTGTATACACGAACTCTGAGTGTGAACGGTATTAGAAAAGGAGCTCTGTTGAGAACCTCCCGGGCTTTGGTATTCTCCCCTTCTGCCTGCGTACGTCACGGTGCCTTGAGTTACGCGAAAATGATAGTAGGAAATACCTGGTGGAAAAAGCTTTCTTCAATCGCTTCCCTTGCATGAAATGTGTGTGATGGTGCAAACTGCCGCTTGCTATTGCGGTCATGCAGCTGCAAGGAATAGAATCATAAGGAAAGAATAGTAGAAAGTGACGTACCTCCGCCAGTAGACTTGCAGAGACATTTATAAAAAATTGACGCATGTTTTGAAACACAAATATATCGGAAGCGACGAAGGCTGACGGCTTGAAAGGCATAACCCACAGAAGCTGCCAGAGTCCCTACAGTAACAGACAATGTCAATCGCTTTTATCAATAGTATCTGGTTGCGCACCTCCTTCAAAATAAGCACCAGTTGCTTAACATCTTCTATACTTATCGGTTGTTTCATGTTGTAGAACTCATCGTTGTCCATGCTAAAAAGCAGATGACTGCAAAAGAAGTCTTTAGAGAAGCACGCGATCATTTTGAACGCACCTGAAGACGGGACAGAAAACCGCAAGTGGCAGCATCCAACCAAGTAGCTCTGGTGATAGCTGCGCATCCTGAGAAGGCAGCTCGATCGCTGGCCAGTTGTTATTCAGCCGACAAGAAGTAATATATTGCCACAGTGGAGGCACCAGGTTCGCAACGTATGCCAAGCGCGAGACTATTGTAGTTCTATCCAGTACAGAAAATGCCGCATATAAAAAGCCGCAAACGGCAGAAACCGCACTGGCTTCCGGAGCACCACCAAATGGTGTAGCAACCGTATTCAAATCGAGTGGAGCTTGTGAGAAGGCAACCCTCACCTGGAAGATAGTGAGAAAACGGGTTTTGAAAGATAAAAATTTCATGTACCATTTCTTTCAGGAACATCCCATCAGACGCGTGCTTTAGCTGGGATATCAATGCTGGTTCTAAAGCAAAGCTCTCTTCAATGTCAATTTTCATGTCGTCGTCCTCGCTGGCTGCAAGAAGAATGTTGTTAGAAGAATAATAACGTGAGAGTGTTACCATCACTGAACGTTTCCTTCGGACAAAGAGCACAGGTTATCGGTGGAGTGCTCAACAGAGTCCGTGCTACATTTGCTATATCTGTGACCTGCAATGCTCTCGTAACATACATTTATCAACAGGAGGCATATCAAACTTACCAGCTGAATCATAGCGTTTGGTTGTTGCATGGCGAGTCGTGAGCTTTCCAAGAGGTTTCCCAGCAAGCAAACAAATGACGGAAACTCAGGGCTTACATCAGAAGGAAGAGAGGTCCTCAAGTCAAGTTTATTTATGGCTGTTTGATGAACAACAAAAGCCCAAACACCGTCCGTAACGCTGACCTGTGAATGTCTCATATAAAAAACTTTTTAGAAAACGAAAGCTTTCGGACCTCTTTCAGACGCGGAAGTCGTCGCCAGAGAAGTGGAACAGAAAATATCTGAGCCGGGAGACTCCAGGTAAATGGCACCGGCTTCAAGTACTGAAACTTTTCCACATACAAAACAGAGAGCTGATGTACAAGCCGCTCCAAAGATAACATCACCAATGATCGAGCATCTGTGTTTTTCTGGAAAAGAAATGCGTTGTAACACAAGTAGCCTGGAAGTGAGTAACATACCAATGTCAAGACGAGATCACGAAGAAGACAAAACATCTTGTTGAGTGCAAGGTGCTCAATAAGACTTCCAGACCAAGGCAACTCGACCGTTGCAAGGCTGAGAATCGTGCGCACGAGAACCCCTGCGACATCGTCTCTGGATCCATCTTCTGGAAGCATTAACTCTTCCTTAAGTGATTCTCTGTAAATCCAATGTAAACAAGAAAACAATCACGACTGCGTTACTCTCACATACCGGTGATGGTAGAGACCTTGTAGACAAAGAATCGCAAAATGCTTCACTCTATAGTTAATAGCACATCTTTGAGTCGTATAGTCTCCGCTAACAAAAACCGAAAAGACACCACCTTCTGTGGATCAAGTCAGGCTCCAGCATTTTCATTCAATGGAGCTTACCCGTTTCACTCATGCATCGAAGAAAATGGCGGCAAGCTCCAGCCAGCCGGTAGAAATCCGCTGAATTTTTCGGAGAGATCATGAAGAAAATCTGAGGAAGATATAAAGACTCGGGCTTGAAGACGTTCCTGAAAATAGAATAGAATCTATGAGCTCCAAATCTATCAAAAGCTATGAGCTCTGCAAGAATCACCTGTCCGCTCTATCGCTAAATTCTCCGAAAGCTGCGACGAATTTCTCTCGAATGAGGACCTGATTGACCGCTACGTCTCGCCTTCCCCGAAAGCATTTCTGGGAACAAGAATTCGGAATCCGGGAATGAAATGGAGGACACTACCTGGATTCGAAGAGCGCCTTGCTGCCGCAGCCGCGCTCGCTGCCGCTGCTCGCGCTCGTCCTTGACCCTGTTGAGAGTCCCTTGCCGATCGCTCTCCTTAGAGCTGCGCCCTCGCAGCTCCACCTTGCGCCGCAGCCCCGGATCGCCGGAGAAGAACATCGTGACCTAGAAATCCAGGACGCTGCAAGCCCGCTACGCTACTAAATCGCCATAATCCTTCTGCTTGCCCTCGTCTGTGGTTGCATTGTATTGTCTCTCATAGTTTTAAGAAAACCGACATCGGACGGTCCACACGCACGACATTCCGGACCTAGATTCCCTCCAATCACAGCTCGTCCATTTTATTTCGCAAAGTTAGGGTTCTAGCAGCGATGATTCAGTGCTTGTTCCTCCTCTCCGATGCCGGGTACGCCTCTCTGAGCTATCTGTGGTCTAAGCAGGAAATTTCCCTGTGCAGTGACGTGATTCTTGAGAAGCAATGGATGGGAAAGCGCGTGGAGCGATCCATTTGCAGCTGGTTCTGGCGGCAGCGATCAGAGATGGAAGATCAGGTAAGATCAAGCTCTCTTTTGCCAAGACCTACATTCTTTCTGGCTGATCGTCCAGGATCCTCCCTCCGTTATCGCGTCTCCGACGCATTACCTTCTACACATTGTCCGGGAGGGCGTGACGTTTCTGGCATGCACAGCGAGTGAGATGCCTCCTCTTCTGGGAATCGAGGTTCGTGTTTGAGAGCTTTTTCTTGCGTTGATTGGTTTCTCTTTTTGAAGTTTCTGTGCAAGGTTGCAAGTGTTCTAGAAAACTATCTAGGAGGATTGAATGAAGATATTCTCAAGGACAATTTCGTGATCGTATACGAGGTGATTGAAAGTTTATCAGTGGTGTCTTTCCTCTGATGTTTCGCTTGCTCGTAGATTCTCGACGAAATGATGGACAGCGGATTTCCTTCCACGACTGAGCCGAGTGTGTTAAAAGAGATTATTGCTCCTCCGAATTTGGTCAGTAGAGTTCTCAGTGTTGTCACCGGGACTTCGTCAAGTTTGAACGCTGCTTCTCCTCTGGCAACTTCATCGCAAGTTTCTTGGAGGGCTAGTAACGTGAAGCACTCGAACAACGAGATTTACTTTGACTTGGTCGAGGAGATGGATGCAGTTTTTAACAGGTATATAGGCAGCACTATTGCTATCTCTAAGTTTACAAAGTTGTGAGTGCAGGGATGGTTTCGTCGTAAAATGTGAGGCTTATGGAGAAATCCAAGCGACCTCGAGATTGTCCGGGATGCCTGAACTCTCGCTGACGTTTGCAAATGCCGACATTCTACACGACGTAAACTTTCACCCCTGTGTGCGATACCGAGCATGGGAAGCGGACCAAATGTTATCGTTCATTCCTCCAGATGGTGCATTTAAACTCATGAGCTACAGGTTTGTTCTTGTTTTGCGCACTTACTAGCACTAACTGATATCGTATTTGCAGAGTGAAGGGCTTAAAAAATCCTCCCCTGTTCGTTCGTCCTCAATTGAGCTCTGGCGAAGGAATTTGTCGTGTAAATGTTCTAGTGGGGCTTCGAGGCGATCCTGGGAAACCCGTGGATGCTATTATCGTTCAACTACCTTGGCCTCCGTCTGTGGTGTCCACAAACCTGAGTCCTAGTGTTGGAACAGTTACGTACAGCTTTTCTACAAAGGTAACACTAGAGCTAACCTTTCTTTATGATGTTTCTAAGTCTTATACTTGCAGGTATCAACGTGGATCATAGGACGTATTCCAAAGGACAAGTCTCCTTGCTTAAGTGGCACTTTGCAGCTGGAACCAGGGATCAATCGCTTAGAAGAGTTTCCAACTTTCCTGGTTGGTTTTAAGATCCAGGGAACGGCCGTGTCCGGTCTGAAAGTAGACAAGATGGACATTAGAAACGTGGAATACCGACCTTACAAGGGATTTCGTGCAGTAACAAGAGCCGCCAGCTACGAAATACGAACGTGAAATACTTAAAAGGCGGTAAGACATTCCCAAACATATGTTTTGTTTCTCACTTTTTGACTGTGCAGCGACGATGTGAACGGTAGAGGACGCTGTTTCTTTTGTGATTAAAACTTTTTCCGGGCTTCTGGGGCTCATGCCAAGAAGACGGACGCCCACACACTAGCCGCATGCACGGCCTCCAGGTTCGCATAAATTCTCTTCCATAATATAGTTGAGTGATATCTCGGAGCCGTAGAGCTATAGCTATGGGTGGTCGTTTAGCATTTTCTGTCCCCATCTTCCTGGTTTTGCTAATCGTCTCTGCTGCTGACAATGCAGGACACTCGAGAAAAGTTTCCATCTCTCCGGCTGCTTCACCGCTCTCTCCCCTTACCAGCGGCAGCGGTGGTAATGGTAATGGTCCTCCCGATCCTCTCAAGGGCGGTCCTTTACCTCCACATCTTCGTGGAGAAAAAGTTGCTGCGAATGATCAACTTCGCCTGGAAAGTGTTCGTGCCGTGGAAGACGAGAGGCTTTCGGCTATGGATTCTCTGCAAGTCACCAGCATTCTAGCGCCATCGCAAGCTCCGGAATCGTCAGCTCAGTCGACACCTCCGGCTCCAGGGACCATTGACGGCTCACCACCTTCGCACACTCCAAGAATTACCATCAGGGGCCGAGTCACTTGCGAGCGTTGCTCCACCAAGCACAAGACCAAGACCCATGGTCTCTCTGGTAAGAGCTTCCAAAGTTCTTCCGAGAAGTTTTCTCTCGTTTTCTCCAGGTGTTTCCGTGGAGCTATCATGCCCGCAAGCAAACTTAACGATGGTAACCCAGCACCATGGCCAGTTCTCGATGGGGTTCCACCACTTGGAACCACTGGGCTTCCCGGGTAGCTGCGCCGTGTCCGTCATTACGTCATCGCTGCCATCCACGTGTAACGTTCCCGTTGGCTCCGCCACCAATTCTTTCACACCGACACTGCATTCCACCTCGAGCAAGGAGACCGCGTACGTGGTACCAGCGTTTGAGTTTACCAACGGGGACAATTGCAAGTAAAAGTAAACCACCAATCGTGGTTAAAGTAAATAAATGGGTGAAATAAAAATTCACGTTTTCTTCGTGGCCACCAAATGCGCCACGTCACGTCAGCAAGTGACTAGGAACGGTCACTTTCCACGTCGGATAGATCTTTGTTTAACTTGGTCTTCGTTCCATCGCGCGCCCTATTTCATTTTGTGCGCGTGAAGCGTTTCTTCTTCCATTTTTCCTACGATCGGAGCCCTCAGCGAGCGATTTCCAGCAAGAATCTGCAAGACTTTCGTGTTTTTCGATTGATCTCGAAGCGGCATTCTGCGATTTTCAGCGAAGAGGAGCCGGTCGATCGAGGTAGGGTTTCCGGCGCCTTTCTTGCCCCGTCGCGCGGCCGGATTTGCGAAGAATCATGAGTCCAGGAAGCTTTCCAGGCGCAGAGGCGGCTCTTTCGTCCCCATCGAGGTTCAAGACGTGGAATCCGGGCTCCCAATCGCACGGGAGGGTTTGTAGAGGGTCGATTATCGTCAGCGGCCTCGCATTGTCTCACCCCAGGCGCTCCGACTCCATACGATTCCTCCGCAGAGGAAAATGGAGACGGTCTCCACTAAAATCGAGGCTCTACATCTTGGCCGAGAATCGAGTCTTCACACAGGATGGAGCTAATCCTGTTCCGGATCTAGACCAGCAGCGCCAGCACCAAGTCTACGTTCCAGCCGCGGGAATCCTTCCTCTCAATCTCGACGTAGAGAATTTTAAAGGCAATTCGTCCGACTTAACTTTCAAGGAAGCCAGGAAGGAGAGTCCCTTCGAGCAAGAAGCGTGGCGATTGCTCAGGGCCTCCATAGTGCAGTACCAAGGCTGTCCAGTGGGAACGATTGCCGCGAACGACCCCACTGACGCTTCGGCTCTAAACTACGATCAAGTTTTCATCCGCGATTTTGTTCCGTCGGGCATTGCGTTTCTACTGAAAGGAGAGCCAGCCATTGTTCGTAACTTTCTACTATGCACGCTAAGGTTACAGGTAAAGTTATTCCTTGTGTGTGATTATACTAAGTTTGCTCTATGAATGGTGGTAGAGCTGGGAAAAAACCGTTGATTTTTACAGTCCTGGGCAGGGTCTAATGCCTGCAAGTTTCAAGGTTCAATCGGTTGCCGCTGAAGAGGACACTTGCGAAGAGATCCTGGATCCAGACTTTGGAGAAGCTGCTATCGGAAGGGTTGCACCAGTAGACTCAGGTGCTTAACGTTTCTCTTTGTTGGATTCCAGTTTCATCTTCATTTGATATTCTCCAGGTCTGTGGTGGATAATTCTCCTCCGAGCTTACGGTAAATCCACGGGCGACTTGTCATTGCAGGAAAGAATGGACGTCCAAACCGGCATAAGGATGATTCTTAAGTTATGTCTCTCTGACGGGTTTGACATGTTCCCGACGTTGCTGGTCACGGATGGCTCGTGTATGATCGATCGTCGCATGGGCATCCACGGCCATCCTCTTGAAATACAGGTGCTTATAGTCATTTCGCTTCGAGAGAAAATACTAACCGTCTCTCGGAACACAGGCGCTTTTCTACTCGGCTCTTCAATGTGCGAAAGAGATGCTTATCCCAGACGAGAAGTCTCATCAATTGCTTACAGCGGTTAACTCGCGACTTAGCGCACTGTCGTTCCACATAAGGGAATACTATTGGCTCGACATAGCTAAGCTCAACGAGATCTATCGCTATAAAACCGAAGAGTACTCGCATGATGCTGTGAACAAGTTTAATATTTATCCCGAGCAAATCCCGGATTGGCTTGCGGACTGGATGCCCGATCATGGAGGGTACTTTATCGGCAATCTACAGCCGGCTCACATGGACTTTCGGTTCTTCTCACTGGGAAACTTGTGGGCGATAGTATCTTCCCTGGCAACACCACAGCAATCCAGCGGAATTCTCGATCTCATCCAAGACAGATGGAAGCACCTGGTCGGAAGCATGCCTCTCAAGATCTGCTTCCCGGCTTTTGAAAACGAGGAGTGGCGAATCATCACTGGCGGTGACCCCAAAAACACGTAAGCTTTTGTAAATTTTGTGTTGGAAGTCATAACTCTGTGAGTTTTTCCAGGGCATGGTCTTACCATAATGGAGGTTCCTGGCCTACACTCATCTGGCAGGCAAGAAATCATGAAAAGATGATCCATGGCAAAAAAAATTCTGACGCTGCCTTGTTACTCTTTGACAGTTTACACTAGCCTGCATAAAGATGGGAAGATCAGAAGTGGCGTACGAGGCTCTAGAAATCATGGAGAGGAGAATCTCCAGAGACCGCTGGCCCGAGTACTACGACAGCCGCACGGGGAAGTTTATAGGCAAGCAATCGAGACTCTTCCAGACATGGTCCATTGCTGGCTATCTGGTTGCCAAGCAGCTCCTGGCCAATCCCGAGGCAGCCACTTATCTTACGTGCGAAGAAGACCCTGGCTTGCTCGATGCTTTCAGCTGTCGAATCAGTTCCAAGCAGCCAAAGAAGGCCTAAAATGTCAGAGTGATGTGGTTTCACTCGACACAAAACAGGGGCTGCGGAGAGATTTTGTGACAACACGAAGTCTCCATGCTGTCCACAAGAGACGTTCTTGTCTCTGGTGAAATCTCAAAGGAGAAACATCAACAACTAACTTGTATAAAAATTTATTTTTGGTTTGCCGTTAAAGCAAAGTTGTTTGTTGCTATAGCCATAGATTAATTTAGTCGTCGTGCCGTCGGATGACGATCGTGCGGTTCCTGACGATTCTAGGGCACCACTAAAACTCATGATATTATTCCAACTTAATTTTCAATATAGGGTTTTCAGCTAGCAGAATGGACGTGGAATTGGCTAAGGTGGAGGCTCAAATCGGGCTTCTTGAGTCGCAGATCCAAACGGTTGGGGAATCTTTTCTCTCTGCCCTTCAGAGTGGCAATCAATCTCTGGCGGAATATTGGCGGAAGGAGGAAGAGCAGCTGCGGAAGATAAAAGGGCGGAAGGAGGAAGAACTGCTGCGGAAGGAGAAAGAACTGCTGCGTGAGGAAAAACTCCTCCTCCTCAAATCTAATGGTAAGTCATTCTTTGTGTGTTTATCGATTTGGCTGTGTGCTTCCATGTTGCTTTCGGCCATGTTTGCCTAAGGTAGCTTCACTTCGCGTTTATTTTGAGTTGCTGGATGTGTATGCCTTCGGTTTCTTTTGGAGATCGTCTCTGCGTATTTGCCTCAACAGTATCTTGCCTGGCTCTTTGGGATCGTGGCTTATGAAATCTGATGTCTTTTATCCATGTCTTGTAGCGAGGTAAGATGCTATCGCTTGATCTTTTGTCTGACTGCATCGTTTGCCCTTCCTTCTAAACACGACTTTTTGTAATTTTGCAGCGGCGAGAAGAGAGCCCATTACCAAAGGTACTGAACGCCTGCTCGTCCTTTATCGATAGCGTTTGGTTTGTTTTGCAGGGGTTGTGGAAGCTATACTACACAAGTGTTGGGATCAACTCTCGGGCACTATTTCCAGCATGACCCCTGAACACGCGTTCAAAAAAAAGTTCCCGCTCACCAAGGTTCCAATTTGCCAGATACAGGTTTCGGGACGTTGGCAACCGAGTCTTTTGTGGCATGATCTGGAGCAGCCTCTTGGTTCTGGAGAGATTCTTTCATTGATGAAAACATCCAAGCCCGCTCATTTGATTCTATTCGACATCGCTGGATCCGGAAAGACGCGCTGCTTATACGAGATTGCGGCGCAGAAGAAGTGTCTTTACTTCTCCGGCGTGCGTTCCGGTTCGCCTACTGCCGATGGCTCCCGGGACCTGTTGGTTGTGTCCGAGACACTGCAGAGGCTGTATCCAACAGGTCCGATTCCCGTCTCATCCCTCACGACCTGTTTGAAGGCGGTGCTCCTGTCAAGGCTTTTCCTTCACCGAAAATTGGACGACCTCCTCAAGCCAGTCAGCAATTTGACATTTCTTTTCAACCAGGTTATGCACCGGCAGCTCAAATATGTTCAGGCAGACCCTTGGGCCTATTTAACTGGGTGCATCTTGACGCTGGCGGAGTCAGTAGATGATCTTCGTGATTTGAACTCTGCGTTGAACTGGATGCTCTATCCGTACGCCCGGGACTGGCTGGTTATTTTGGACGAGTGCCAGGAGGTGAACACATATCTGAAAGACAGGTTCATGTTAGGGGATGGGAAGGCGAGATCAATGCTTGATATGTTTGTTGTCGCTCTACGGGGTGCTGGCTTCAATAACACAGTAATCTTTGCTGGGACTGGGAGATCACTGTTTCATCGGACCACTCACATCTCGGGGGTATATTGTATGCGTTCCTGAGTTTCATGGCTAATGTTCGTGTCCACAGACTCGTGTGAGCCTCATGTGGTATACATCCTTTGGCGAGTTTCGGGATGGTGAGTCCCTGGAGCAATATGCTAGCAATGTACTGGAGGATTGCAGCGTCATAGACTTTGAGAGGCTCGGGGTGCTGTACAGAGGAAGATATCGGACGTTTGTTACTGCTCTTGAGCACTATATCCTTTCTAACCCGCCTCCAAACGCAGCTACGGGGTTTTTCTTGGATTATGCCAAAAAGACAACATCCACGAGGTACGTGAAATGTCGCCAAGCGGCAGAGCTTCTTGACTGATGACTGGAATGCCACAGGGGTGCATCAGCAAGCAATGAGATCAGTCCTGGAGATATGAACAGGACCATGCTCGATGATGTCTACCGATTTTTTTCAGCAGTCCCGAGCGATGAATTGGCGGCAGCGAAAGCTTTAGTTCAATCAGTTGTTGCGAACCACTTCTTTGGTACAGGAAAGGTGGTCGTGCTGAATCCAACGTTATCACTGGTGGAGTCTGGACTTGGGAGAGTTTGTTATAAACGACACGGGCTGATGAAGTGGGTGTATCAAGATCAAGACGGAATTATTGGGCATGCTGATGCAAGCGAAGGATGCCAAGCTGTAGAGATTTTCGAGCCGCTTGTTTGTCGTGCCCTGTGGCACTATTTTCAGGAGAATTCCTCCTTGAAACAGATCCAACAGCATCATTTTCTGGAGAAGGCCGAATTAAGTGCCAGTGCTACTAGGGAGGTTTATGAAACTGCCATTGCACAGATGCTTGGGGAGCATTTAGACGGGAAGCGTCTGGCTGATCTTTTCTCATCGTGGAACACAGAACCGATTCCTGCTATCTACAACAACACTGCAATTCTTGCCAGGCCTAAGGTTGATCACCTGAGCCTCGTTGGGACCGAGACGGAGGACTTCCGTTTAATCGATTGGATAAACAGCGTGACTAGCGGTAAAGACGACTTTTTTACTTTCTTTTCGACGGGCAGGAATAAGACTTGCGGCCCAGACATATGGTGGTTTCTGACAGTTTCGCAATATGCACAACCTGAGCAGGCAGACAAGCTTCAATGCGCTGGAGAACCAAGTAGTGGGGAGCAGGCAGATGATCGTGAGTCAGTGACAACTTTCATCATATGTGCAGCTCAAATGAAGACTCTCCAGAAAATGGCAAGGGGTGACTGTCGGAATTCGTTGGATCTTAACAAGCTATTTTTGCACAAGAAGGGTGGCAAAGGATATAAAAATGTTGTGAAGAGGGAAAAGGATGACGAAGCTGCAAGGCGAGTGAGGGAACTTGCAAACTATGGGTGCCTAAAACTTGTGGTCGCAACGGATTTTGTAGATTTGACGAAGTTTCAGCCAAAGGTTAAACAACGTCCAGCAAAGTTAAGGAAATTAAACACTGCAGGCTGTCAACAAGAATGTGTTCCAGCGTTGCTCGGAGTTATTGATAATACAAACATTTGCATGTTTGTTGAGCGATGGTTGATTGAGAGTGTTAAGATTTGTGAGGATTCTCCTGAATAGAATCTTAGAACTTTAAAAAAGTCTATGCTGGTCTGAAAATGTGGATGTAGAAACTGGAGCTGGTGTTCTGGACCCATCCAGTACCACTAGCCAATGCCAGTAAGCTGCTCTCTCACAAGATGTCCACTTCAATGAGACTTCATCACGTCCTCATTTAGTGGGAGAAAATCCTTTGCCGGTCAGTGACGACCTTGTTCTGGTCCTCCAGCAAGAGGGAGTATGAGGGATTCCAGCAAGCAATCCCTGATGGATGCGGACCAAAGAATGATGCTGAAATAATGGCAGTCAACACGATATCCACAGGATATCCAAGAGATGGGATGGTGGACAAGATTACGAGTGTTCCACTACAAAGCTGTATTCAAGCCACAAGTGGCACCCATGGTTAGTGAGAAGACTGGTGTGGAGCACACAATCAAAGCTGATTTCAGTTGATAGAGGAACATGATACTATGGTGGCAGAGCTTTTTGAGTAGAACCTCATCAAACTTAGTAGCAGTCCATTCTCCGCTCTTGTGTTGTTGTGGTACATAGTGTTTATGCTTGGACTACCAGGCTTTGAACAAAGCCATCATGAAGAAAAAATTTCTAATTCTCTGGGTTGATGAACTTTTGGACAAGTTTGGTGGAGCAGGATTTTTCTTTAAGATTGATCTCAACTGATTGGAAAAAAGAAAAGCATTTTGATTCATAAATCTTTTCTCTTTATATTTAAACTTTATAAATGGCCTCTCAAGTCATTTTCTTTAGTTACTTGCATCATGACTCTCCTATTTTATGTGGGCATATAGGACATCGATGTATGATTAAAAAGTTGTATAGATCTTTTTATTAGTCGGAGAGGTGATATAATGTTATTTGGTATATACATAATTGTGTTTGGTGCTAAGCTCATAATATTCTTCTTCATACAATAATTGAAGTTAATTATAATTTCCTGATTTGATGGGGGCTTTTTCCATAGTTGACTATTAGTAATAAGTATATCATTATTGCCTCTAACTACTTAACTCATTAAGTGAAAGTCAAGGCTCTTGTTAGTGTGTTAATGATGGATATTAGGTACTTCCTCCTCAATTGAATGATGTTTCAATAATCCTATCTAGAGTAGATTCTCTTGGATAATGATTTCACATTTATGGCTAGGTATTTAATTTGTATGAATTATTGATGATGTTGTTCGGTTTAAACAATGGTATAGAGACATTAAAACATGAAATACCATATTAGGAACATCTTCCTCAGCTATCAACACTTGCCAATACCTAAAAGTAAAATCTAATTTGATGAACTAATGACTTTTCCTCATATGATTCTAGAGATTAGTAGTATGAGAAAGAAGGTAGACATTTAGAATAATCACTTTGTTTAATGAATAATAGTCAATATAAAAGCAAATACTCCCATCAGGGTTTATCACAAATTAAGGTTCACATACCCAAAGACTCCAAAGCTTTTGGATAACACTTTTCTTTAACATTTTCTTAACGTTCATACGTAAAATCTTGATATCTTTTTGTGACTGACGCCCAAATAAGAATTTTGATTAGACAAGCATCCTCAGTTGGAATAGGATGATGTATTGAAATCTTGGCCTTAGATGACAAGTTAAAGTCAAAGAAATTAACATACTCTTCCTTGAGTCAGTCCACCATAGCAACATAAAAACTAACAAAGGGATTTGGAAAGGGAAAAATGAAAACATAGTAGAAAGTAATAAAGAAACAAAAATGATGAAAGTAGAGGTAAAAACAAAAGGAGGAAGGAAAACAAAAATGAAAAAAATACACAAGATATAGGAAGTATAATATAAAGAGAGAAGTCTCAAAGTCACATTTAGCATGATTATGCTGCAACTAATTCATATTAAAGATGAGGTTAAAAGCTTGACTCAACACTAGTCATAATAGTTGCATGATGCAATTATAAATGGCAATGTGTGATAACAAGTCGAGAAATAGAAGATAAACTCAAGTTAATATTAACCAATATAGAGAGAATAATAAGAAACCTCATGTTACAAAAATGAATTTAGAAAGTAAACACTGAATGAACTGGTGCCAAATGTGGTACTCATGAAAGAAGGATGAGCTCAAAAAAGGGTATTAATATTAGCTATAGAACTCCCCGAGTAATGAACAACCTCAAATCAAATAATTAAGTTCTTCCACTTAATAATAAAGTAACTATGGTATGATCACCTTCTAATAATATAAATATGCATAAAACTTCTTAAAGCCTTAAACTACTGATAAATATTTATTTGTTATGGAATAATTCACCTTTGCTGATTATATTGTACAATTGATATATGCAATAGGATGGCATTGACTAGGCACACTTAACATTTCATTTTACGCATGAATACTTTTAATATCAGTCTTAAAGGTGTGTTGATACAAGAGAGCTTGAGTGTGTTAGGATATACTAAAACTGAAAAAGATATCAACAACACTTTGAGATCTATAAATGCTTATTAGACTAAATGAAAGAAGATGATAACTTCAACAATATTGGCAATGGTGTAGTATGATCAAAAAAATAATCAACAAAACAATCGAGATATTGCACCCTTCCTAAGAGGTGTTATATATAATTCACACACTTTAGAATAAAGAACTTTAGGACAGCTATAAATTTGTTATGATCAACTTACAAACTTTCATGAGAAATACGGTACCCAAAATAAGTTATGTCCTGGACTTAAACACACATTTCAACCATTTCAACTTTAAATTAACTTCTCGTAATTGATTTAACACTTTACTAACATCACAAATATGCTTCACCCATGTCTTCTCTAAATGGATCAAGATATCATTGATAAAATCAATAGTTATCTTTGGTATACATAAAGAACTTTGTCTAGCATCTGCTAAAAAGTCACTAAAATATACTTTCACGAGTGTTTATCATCTATAGACAAATGGCTTGAAGAGATGATTTATTCGAACCTTTAAAGGGATAATTGCAAAGTATGTGAACTTTTAGCATTTGGATTAGGATGATTATTTATCATTTATTTAGTACATATGTGTCATAGGGGTATAAAATTCTATTGGTGCTTCATTATATAAACTCTTAAATAGTTATAATTCAATACTACCCATAAAGTTGAGTTTACTTTCATAATTACTATAGACAATTGATATGAGGTCATAGAATATGTATTTAATAAACATTCTTCCACTTGTCCGAGTGGAATCTACTAAACACTTGGGCCATGTATAGGTGGGACAACAATGGTGTTATAACACCTATCATCATCCATTTGTAAAGTACAAAGTGGATAACTTGGTATTAGTTTGTTTTCCCAATTTTATAATATGTGGTTTATTTATAAAGTGTAAACTCTTGTTTAAACTTCTTAAAAGATTATTCAACCTAATACTATTCAAACCCAAGGACATTTAACTCTAAGTATGCTAAAACTCTTAACCGATTGGAAAAAAAAATGCACTTTTATTCATAATCCTTTTCTCTCAATATTTTAACTTTATAGATTGTTTCTTAAGTTGTTTTTTTTTTATTGTTTATATAAGGCTCTTTGCTCAGTGGAAAGGACCATATCAAATGTTGTGGTAAGTTAAATTGCAAGTTTATAAAATTTGGTATAACATTCAATAGATTAATTTGCACATTTTTGTATTTCATTTCCATATTTAATGCACTCACAAGGTATATTAGCATCTTGTAATATAATTAGAAAAATATAGTTTCTTTTATTTAATTTCCAAATATTTGAGCAATAATATATTATACGTAACAACTATGAAATATAAAAATATATAGTATAAATTGGACATTAATATCCAAGTGCCTCTCACAGTAAGTAAATGTAAGTGAATCTAATATCACTCCCAACTTCTAATATTTAAAAGTACATATATATATATACCTATTATAATGTAAAACCTACTATTTCACATATATTTTATGATTAATAAAACTAAAGGCACATATAAGTTAGAAACTTAAATTAGCATTAACTTTGTTATTTATCTAAGAATTTTCAAGCTTTAGTTCTTGGGTCCACCTGTAAAACCCTAAAAACTGCTTTTAATATACAAAAGAATATTCTAAGACAGTATATTCTGTCAGCAACAAGAACAGGAAAAAAAAAAGAAAAAGGCGGCCGGTGTGGAAGTGATGATGGCGGCGGCGCGCAACGCGGATCAGGATTGATTGGGTCCATCATTTGGTCTGCGCAAATCACAATCCTTGCCTGCTGTGCCACCCGCCCAATTGGAATCCATGGGATCTTTCCGAGGCCATGCAGTCCCAGGCACGCTCTTCCTAGTCGTGGGCATCTGGCACACCCTCAATTCCCTCCTCAAGTACGTTTCCAACCCAAAGGGCTTCCAGGGCCGCGTCTGGCACGCCCTCCCCAGGGTCACAGGCTCCCTCCGCTTCCTCGAGCTCTACATCATCACCCTCGGCGCCCTCCTCGACCTCTGCATCGAGTTCTTCTACTCCCCCCACTTCCAGTACTTCGTCGATGGAGCCCTCAACGCCAAGCACCTCAACAATTTCGAGCACTCGGCAATGCTCCTCATGTTCTTCGTGCTCGGCGCCGTCGCGCTCTTCATCGAAGCTGCCGGGTACGTATCTCCTTTTTCGACACGATTCATCCAATCAGCAGCTAGTCAAAAAGATTAAAAGCCGTATCGAGAAAGACGAGTTCACTTACCTCGAGAGCGTTTTGCTTGCGCAGGGTGCTCCATCTTCCACCGGGAGCTCTCAACATCATCGCCGGCATGGCCTTCACCGCCGAGTTCCTGCTCTTCTACTTCCACTCCACCACGCACGCCGGCCTGGAAGGACGATACCATCAGCTCCTCGTCTACCTCATCGGCCTCTGCATCCTCTTCTCGTGTCTCGGGGCAGCCTTCCCTCAGAGCTTCGTCGTCGACTTAGCCAGCGGCATCTCCATCACTCTCCAGGGACTCTGGTTCTACGTCGTCGCCATGGCACTCTATGGATCCTGGGTACCACTGGGCTGCAAAGGCTCCGAAACTGGTATCAAGTGTGATGCCCCCGCCTATGAAACCCGCGGCCAGTCACTTGCAAACCTCCAGTTCAACTTCCTCATCGTCTCGGTTCTCGGTGCTGTCACCGTGCTATATGCGGTCGCTGCTCACTTCAAAGGCCACCCGGATGTGTTCTATGTTGACGAGTTCGATGCCAAGGCTGCAGCCGCTTCTACATAGAGAGATAGAACCCGATAATGCGGCGCCGAAAAAAGTTTTGTTGATTAGAAGTAGTTCCTGTCTTGTAGTATCTCAGACCCACACGGTCTCCAAAAAAACTCCGTCAAAATGTAGTCTCGACAAATCCCCTTACCTCCTAAAGCTTTCGGTAGAAGAGAACATACGCCTGCTTGTTCAAGACCATGTCCACGCTCACCTTGTCAACCATCCGGTCGTCGAATCGGAGCCACGAATCGCCGTACTTCGCATCGGCTGTGTAGTGCCCGCTTGTCACGTCTTTGCCGTGGTGCATTATGCTTGCTATCAACTCGTACCTCGAAGTGGCCTGCATTGCGTAAAACAAATGTAAGGTAACATAAAAGTGCATCCTGACAACTAGTATAACCTCGTTGCCTGGAGACAAGAGCTCTTTGCCGACCGTAAGCTGCTCGGAGAAATCGATAGCTCTGGAAACCTTACGCGTTCCACTGTTCCCATAGCCAAAGCGCAGCAGCTGCAGGATGAGTACCTTCGGCAGCGATACCACCTTGGTGCCTCTGCTAGAGTCCTGGAATGCAAAATATAAAAGGAGTCGGTACCTTCCCACACCTTCCCTGGTGAGAACTTGACAAACCTTCAAAGCGTCCTCCACGGAATGAACTGTTCCTGAACTGATATCCAGCGTCAACACGTAGAACGGTTCGACCTGTATACTGGCCTTGCTACCTGCCTAAAAGCTATCAGCGATCTTAACTTAGATTATATGCAACGAACCTTTTGGCTTGACATTGTTGTACAACTGTCCACAAAAAATGTCGGTGAGAGGCGACCAAATGCGACTGCATGTCCGGACTCGAGCAGTTCGATTTTTCGGACCCACTGTCTCCCACTCGTCGTCAACAGCAACACCCACCTCGGAAACAGTTCGACCATCCAGTTTAAGAAGCTCCTCGTGAATTTGATTCAACAGGAAGCAGAGGAACTCTGGCGCATCCTCCTGCCTACAATACGGACGTCAATTCTGCTAAGCCAAGCAATTGCTGAAAACCAACCTCCTTGGCTCGTTTGGACGGAACGCTGCAAGGCACGGATCGAACATTGACGGTACCAACGCTACTCCGGTTTGAACATCCTTGTTTGCAGATTCTCCTTTTCGGTAGTACAAGTCGGATCTAGTCTCGGATGAAGGGCCCTTCTCGAACTCGCTGATCAAACTGACAAAGCCATGCAGAGCCGGAAAACTTTCCTGAAACGTAAAACATCATATCACGAGCTAAAAGGAAGGTGAATTAACTGACCGGAGAAGGTGTTTTCCCTTTTAGCGTCAGCACCAACTGCAAGAAAGGTGGACAGGACAACAGCGCCTGGAGCGTCGAATTCAGGTAGCAAGAGTTGCCGGTGTTCACGAGCCCCCGTGGCGTGATAGCTGCTGGTTGCACCAGCGACGCCCATGACTTTGCGACTGTCTTCGAGGCGCCAGGATCACGCTCGCGTTGTCTCTCGGGGTTCAGGGACGTACGCTCCAACTGGCTGGCGACGTTCCTGATAGGAGTTACTGCGATAACCTTCGGCGATTGCGGCTGTGGTGGTGGCGCAATATGCTTTACACCGTTGGAAGGCTTTGTTGGCCCCGCGTTCGTCTTTGTTGTGTTCACCGGTGCCTTCTTCTCAGGAGATACGTTCTTAACCACTGGCTTCGAAGCGGACTTGGACTCTTGAAACGACAGCGCCTCATCTTCACTGAAAGATCCAAACAAGATCACCTGAAACGATAAAAAGAACACTGTCAAGCAAGAAAAACTCGCGATAAGAAGATTTCCGGGCATGGAGACTGGATAAAGCGGGAATTCATCCGAGGCAGAGAAAGTAAATGAATTTTGAGAGAAGATCCGAGAAATATTTACCAGGCCACCAAGCTAATGGATTTCGAGACAAGAGAGAAGTATCTACAGCACAGACTCGTCAATCATCCAGGCGCACGAACGAAAGAAGCGATCAAACAAGCACGGAAACCTCTCGATGCAACGAAATTTCGATCGGAATCGAGAATGCGGCATCGCAATCCATCGGGAAAGAGCGCACCTTATCCATCATGTCTTGCGCGGCGCCATGAAAACTCCAGAATCCGCGAGCCGATGCCGACCTAGAATCCCCGGGGCGAGAGCGCGCTTGAGCTGTAAGGACGCTATCCGGCAGCAGCAAAGAGACGCCGGCTTCCGCCCTAGAAAACGAGCACACACAATGTATGACTGCCAAGGGTTTAGGTTTTCTCACCTCGAATAAAAGGATTAAAAACTCGCCCTGGAATATACGGGGAAACAAGGAATATTCACTGCTGTGGCTTTTAGGGCTTGCTTTAGCCAAGGAAAGTCGTGCTAACTACTTCTAGTCCATGTGAGTTTACCACCAGAGCATTAAAGAGCCTTGCAAGAATTCGCGCTCCCGGTGACTGGGAATGAAAGAAAGAATCTTTTCCCACGACGTGAGGGGCGAGAATGACGGCCGTGCGCGGCCCAAAGCGTTTGAGGCCCACCGACGTCGGCCATATACGGCATTCCACGAGGGGAATGCCCTAACGGTCGGCGGAGGCGCGTTCGATCGTGCCTACGTGTACACTCCGGATGCCGTTGGAGCAGCCAGGTGGACGTTACGACGCGGAAGATGCGCCAAGAAGGAACTTCCCCCACGTTACCATCAATGGGATGTTCTCCATGATTATCGTTTTAGGGCGCTCGATCATTCCAAAACGAAGCGATCTAGCTGCCAAATTTTTGTCCCAGCTTTGTCATCGCAGAAAAATCAATCGCTATCGCCCGGATCTTTCAAAGAATGCATGCCAAACTAAAAGTCCAGCTTCACGGGCATCCAATTCTCGTCTTGTTCATTGGTGGGTCTGCTCTCCTTCTTTTGACACATATATGAGCTGATCCATCAATCCATCTAATCGCAAATGGGCGCACTGGGAAATCCTGGCAGCAATGCCGATATCACGCAAAGCTTGCTGTGGGATCACAAATCCAGCGCGAATTCCAATTCCAATCCCAATTCCAGCGCTGCCAAGACCCGGATCGTCAAGGGATTGAAGCTCACGGCGGGTCTCACGCTCCTTCAATTCATCTTCGCAATGTATGCTACATTTCTTCTCTATTTCATGAGCCCCAATGTGGATGTCAGTCACACGCCATGGACGTCTAGAATCGCCATCGCGCAGCAGTGGAAGCACATTCTCTGGCCGACAGGTAGCCATTCACAGGGGATTTTCAAGAACCCTAATTCTCCGCTATCAAAACAGGGCACCTGCCAGATCGAGGACCTTGCCTTCCCCCAGAAGAAATCTAACAACACACGCATGATCCAGCTCAAGACGGAGCTTTTCCAGGAGATCACGGCCTTTCAGCAGCGAAATTCCGGCAGCGAGACACTCCAGGAGCTGCTGGATCTTCCATCATCGAGCTCCAATTCCACCAGGATCACCGTCGTGCTCAATCACTTCAAGCGAAGAACACTCTGTGCCCAGCTGGACGCTCTCCTCGGTCAATCCCTGCCCCCTCAATCCATCTGGGTGCTCGCATTCGCCAGCCCCAATCACGACGCCCTCAGCCGGATCGTCGACGCCTACAACGATTCGCGCATCCAATTCGTCTCCTCCACCTTCGATTTCAAGTACTATGGCCGATTCCAGGTCGCGCTCCAGGCCGATTCGTGCGATTTCGTCTACTTCCTCGACGACGACATGATCCCGGGCAGGAGAATGCTGGAAATCCTCTCGCACGTCGCGGGGACTGAGAAGTACGGCAACTCAGTTCTTGGAAGCATTGGCCGGATCCTCCCATTCCGCCAGAAGGATTTCTCCTTCCCGAGCTATCGCAAATTCGGATCAAAGGAAGCTGGGATCTATCTCCCGGATCCAGCGTACGGCATCGTGATCGAGAGGATCGTTCAAGTAGATTTCCTCTCAAGCTCGTGGTTCCTGTCCGCCGAGAATGTCAAAGCTCTCTTCATCGAGACGCCATTCACATTCGCAACAGGGGAAGATCTCCATCTCAGGTGCGAATCTTTTAGAATCTTTTCGAATTTATAAACTTTCTTTTACGCGCTCTTTTTAATGTTCCAGCTATCAGATGCAAAAGTATAGGGACGCCGGCTCATACGTGCTCCCAGTTGATCCGACGGACCCGGCGACGTGGGGGGACAAGGAGCACCGTCTGGCATACGTATCCGAGACGACTGTCATACACAAGGATATCGTCGAAATACGGGACGATCAATGGTGGCGGGCGCTCTCTCGCGGCTACGTGACACAATGGTCGAGGATGAATCCCCAGCAGAGTGACGTCATCTTCTACGCGCACACTCTGGACCAGGTCACTGACTTGGCACCACTCATCGCGCGGTTTCGTGCCACGCCAGGGAAGAAGGCCTACGTGGCGGTCGCCGGTGGCGTGCACTGCCCGTGCAAGGAGGCCGCGCCACTGCTGGGCTTGCCCACGGAAGCATGCCACGAACGCCGGTTCAAGATCTTTGACCTGGAGATGGGCAGCATCGCCGCCACGTGGAAAGCGGGCGAGGGGGACCGTGGATTCTCGGGGCAGTTCCAGGAGATTTACGGCGCGATGAGAGGCCTGGTGAGGATACATTCCCCGGCAATAATCGTGACCGTCGCTGATTTGGAGCGTGGTGTGAGAGACGCCGTTGATCTTGCAGCGAAACGGGGCAATGCAACACTCGTGGAGCTGCCCAGACCGTCGATCCAGCATGCGTTGTGGATGGCCGATCTAAAACCCATTTCTCTCCAGCGTAAGTTATGATCCACTGCGTTTTGATAGATTTGTCAATCTTTGCTATGATTTTCCAGAATGGAACAAGATGACCATCGTGGTAAATATCATCACCCAGAACCGTGTTGGATCGCTCAATCGATTGCTCCAATCCCTCGCGTCGGCCCACTACTTGGGAGATAAAATCCACATGACATTCAACATGGATAGCAAAGTGGATGCTCCAACGCTAGAGCTCGTCCATGCATTCCAATGGCCACACGGGAGAAAAATCGTACGCCGTCGGATCATCCCAGGTGGCCTCATCAGGGCCGTGAGTGAGAGCTGGTATCCCGCCCACGACCACGAATACGGCCTCTTGCTGGAGGACGACATCGAGGTCTCTCCGTTCTACTACATGTGGCTCAAGTATGCACTACTTACGTACGTATATTCTACGACCGGGCCTACGGTTCCAATACCAGAGCTGGGCTCCATTGCTCTCTACACGCCAAGGCTGGTGGAAGTGGTCAAGGAGAGGCCAAAATGGAACGCTACGGACTACTTCAAGGCGCTCCACCCGAATACGCCGTATCTACACCAGCTCCCGTGTTCCTGGGGCGCTCTCTTCTTCCCAAAACACTGGAGGGAGTTCTACAAGTACATGGGCAGCCGCTATACGGAAGATGCCAAGGCGAATCCCGTACAGATTCCAAGATCCCGGACCAACGGCTGGCAAGCGTCATGGAAGAAGTTCCTCATTGATCTCATGTACCTCCGTGGCTACGTGAGCTTGTACCCAAACTTCCCCAACCAGACGAGCTTCTCGACCAATCACATGGAGCCAGGTGCACACATTGCGGCCGTTGATAACTCGCTAAGCCACAAGAGGGAGGACTTCACTGTGCCGTTGATGGAGGAGGACTTTTGGAAGATTCTTCCGGCACAGAGGATGCCACCACCTTCAAAGCTGCCGGTGATCAACCTCTTTAACCAGGCAGTGAGCATCAAAGGACTCAAGGCGGCTGGAGCAAAGCTGGAGCAGGATGTATTGCCTTGCAATGCGAGCCAGATTGTTTTGGTGGATCACATAACTGGCGATCCCACTAATTGTGCTAGATTTTAAAGAGCTATTTGTTTATTCGCTCATCAAACAGGGTACGCGTGCAGAATGTCAAAGAATCGCTAGACTGATTTTTACCATATTCGTTCTAAAGAATGGGGAGGAGGTGACTTTCGAAGGGGCGTGAGGTTTTACCCGCCACAGATTCATGTTCAGCGCGGTGGTAGGATGGACAAGAAGCTGTCTTTTAATCTGGTGAGCATTGTTGATTGAGTTTGCTGTTCTCGATAGCTGCAGAGAATTGCAAGTGGAGGATGAGAATATCCATGTTATTGTACTGGAGCATGTCAGTCATCTATTTTTTACATTGCACACTCATCTGGGCTTTGTTTCGCCGCACAAGACATATTGATCTATCCTTCAAGACACTAGACTCTAACTGTTAAAGAAGCTGTTGGTGGCAATGTTGTTCAAACAACAAAGGCAACTTGTTGGTTAGATTGCGGTATACATACAATAGGGAGAAGGCAAAAGTTTATCTCAGGAATAGCTTGCAAACTTACAACCAGCGGCTAAAAAACTCAAAACAGCTAAAGCTTGGGAATTTTACAAGCTACTGATCAAGAAGACAGCGCATGCCTCTATTCCTGCAATAAAAATATTCTCTCATAGATTAACTGTATAAGAACAAATTTTATTTGACTAATACTTTTTTTGTTGTTGGTCAAAGACATAGAGAACATAGAGCTTGGAATTTGGAGGAACAAGGAGCATAAAAGAGCTTGGAGCGTGGAAGAACATAGAGCGTGGCTGGGAGCTTCAGTAAAGAATATCTAGTATATTCTTATATATGCCTTTACAGAATATCAATATATTCTCATGATCACAATACTAAGAAAAACATTCGCAATAAGACTCTTAACTGGTAATTTATGAACATGGTTTTAACCGAGCAGTGACTGTGGTCGGGGCTGTGACTTACCTGGAGTAATAGTGGCAGGGGCGGTGAGTTACCTGGTTTTAACCGGAGTAACTTTTCGGACGTAAGGGGTGAGAAAGGAGCGTACTTTGGAGAGGCGAGAGGCTATGGCGACGGAGAAGCGCGCATTGGTTTTTCTCGTTTTAGCTGTGTTCTTGATTGGCAGTGGGAGTGGCGCATCGATTCTCGACAGCCTGTGCCTCCCTGCCGCGCGAGAAGTCGCAGCCATTCTTGCAAATCTGTGCTCTGGACTGGATCTGCCGCCTACTTCTAGCGCCAGCGACGCCGATGTGATTTCAGTGCCTGGTAAGTCCTGCATGTCTCTGATTGATCAATTCGTGTGGATTTTCTTCTCTTTCTTTCTTCTCAGTGCCCGGCTCGACTCCTTCGAATTCTACCGCTTCCTTGTCAGGGAAAGATTCCGCTGGTGATCTCCAGAACGAGAGCGAGGCAAGAATCCAGGCGCCAGGTATTTAGCTCTTGTTTCGCAGATTTGGCAGCACGGGTGTCTTTAACATGGCTTTCTGTAGAGAATGGAGGTCCGGAAGATGAGCTTGAAACCAGAGACGATGACGAGCAAGGTCGGTTTTAGATTTGGATGCGCCTATGTTCTCTGTCAGGGCGTGATTCTGGTGGCGATCGCCCAGACGAACGCATAGCTGACCAAGACATTTCAGGTAATGGTGTCCAGGGAAAAATAAAGTACGACTTACTGTATGCTTGCAGCTGTTGAGCCTGTTGAGGAGCAGACCGCCGAAGGTTGCCACCTTTAACAAATTCACTTGAAAGGACTTTTTGCTGTCTGATCCTTGTTGAATTTGATCAAACAGGAAGCGCTTCTCATCCCAGCACCGGAGGAAATGGAGCTCAAGGGGGGATTGCGATGCCGGGTATGTAATTTACCCCGCCTGGGCAATACCATTCTAAAATTTCTACCGGATGCCGCAGTTTCTACCTGGTGAGTGCATTTCGATCCCGCGTTCCGCCACCCTGACGACCAGGGCGAAAACCTGGTTGCCGTGGAAGGCCCAGATGACATTCCTCACCTCGTTGCTTACCTTCAGCAACTCATTCCACAGAACCTGCACGCCCAAGTCTGTGGAAACGGAGACGAGATGCACCTCTACCTGACTGACATGCGGCGGAGAACAATCTTCTTCCTGCCTGTTGCTGTGCTCTGGTCCGACTCCAACTACAACGATGTCTATGGGATGCTTCGCTTTACTGCTGAGGCTTGTGACGTGCAGACAGGCATTGATGGCCGCCATCCTCGGAGGCTGCCAGCCACGGGACTAAGCTGCGAGATTCGACTTGGGACGGGCTACCGATTGGAGACTGTTGAATCGAGCTTCAGGCTCATCGGCTGTGTCGTCCGTTGAATGACTTGCTGGGCGAATTGGTTTGATTTCCATTTCAGCGTAAAAGTTGTGTAGGAAAATCCAAAAGTAAAGACGAATCGTTTACTTGATGCTAACTTACAGGCCGCTCTCAGAATTAGATCCTGCAGACAAGGATTCTACTGAAGTTCGAAGCCATAGCTAAAATGAGATGAACCGTTTCTATCACATCTCCTATCCTAAAGTCCCATGCTCTCACTGATTAAACATAGCTATCTATCTATCTATCTAGTCACCTTCCAAATTCTAATAAACCAAATTACTTATAAAAAAAGTGATTTGGTACACATTATAATTTGATTCTTGCAAACTATAGAAACAATGCAATCCTTTTAGCAATTCTTCTAACGGATCCTTGTGGCTTCAACGGCCCGGATCCCAGGCCCGCTTTTAAATTCACGCAACGGTCAAATTGGGCCCACGAAGGCGTGCGCGTCGCTTGGTATTGCACGGACGCCACTGGGTATTCCAATCCCGTTGAATCCCCACAACGCATTTGCTTTTGGTGGAAAGCACAAAAGCGAGAAGTTCTTCCCTCTTCCAGAGTCCTCTCCATTAGCATTTTAGGTCTGGTTCTAGCCGGTAAGGCGCCAATCTCACCTCTCCTCTTCCCTCCTCGGCGGCACTCTGCGATCATGAATATGAACGGCGGCGTGGATGCGATCGCGCAGCAGCAAGCCACCAACAATCCGGCCAGCAGCAAGCAGAGCAAGCCGAATTTGCAGCCCGTGGACAGCCATTCCGTGGCCAGGAGGTGCGTGTTCTTGCTCTCTAGGGTTCCTTTCCCCTCTCGCTAGGGTTTGACGCGAGCTGAGCTTCCTTCTCCTTCCAGGTTGCAATCGGAGCTCATGGCTTTGATGGTAAGAGCTTGGTTTTTCTTCTCGATGTTTCCGTTGGTCTCAGTTTCGTTTTATCCTTCCTTCTTTGCTATAGACTTGCGGGGATCCGGGAATTTCAGCGTTTCCAGACGGTGACAACATCTTTACATGGATTGGAACCATCAAGGGAGGCGAGGCGACCGTGTATGAAGGTCTCTCTTTCAAGCTCTCGCTGCGCTTTCCCACGGATTATCCATTCAAGCCACCGCTAGTCAAGTTTGAGACGTCGTGTTTCCATCCCAACGTCGATCAGCACGGCAACATTTGCCTCGACATCTTGCAGGTGCGCGCCAGTGAAGTTTTGCTGGGATTGAGATGATGTTCTTCTCACACAAATCTCTCTATGCTGTGGCTGGCTGGCGCAGGATAAATGGTCCTCGGCTTACGATGTTAGAACCGTTCTGCTATCGATCCAAAGCCTGCTTGGAGGTAATGAGATCTTTTCTCGAATCGTTTTGATCATCTCTCGCTTCTACAGAGCCAAACAACAACAGTCCTCTCAACAGCTATGCGGCAACGTTGTGGCCAAACCAGGAAGGTAAGTTTTCCACGAATTCCATAGCCAAGAACTTGGAACGATCCTTTGTTTTCTCGCAGAGTACAAGAAAGTGATGATCAAGCAGAGCCGCGAAGGATCCGGGCGATGAAGAAGAAGTTGCGAAAAGGAGAACACTCGCGGGAGGAGCCGTGAAGTTTTTTCTTCTTTGCCGGACGAAGCTCTTTGGCGGAGGAAAAAAAATCGAGTTGGCTCTACATGGCTCGAGCTATGGAGCATGAGAGCTAGAGCGAGCGAGCGACAGAGAGAGAAGCGATGTTTTCTTCTTGGCTCTAAAATTTCCATCAAGCATTTCCATTCCAATCATGGGAGTGGCAGCGGCGAGAGATCTTTCCAAGGATCAAGGAGCATCCACTTTCGAAAATACTGCCGCGCATCGATGGTCGCCCCTTGTGAATCTGGCGCGTTGTTGTAGTGGCCGCGCCCACGCCCGCGCCCTTCTCGCCCCCATTGCCTTCGTCCTCCTCCTCTAGCACCACTGTAGAACCTCGATGGCGATGGCGATGGCGATGGAGGCGCCGGGTGCGATTCCTCTTCTTCCGTTCTATCGGATTCTTCTTCTTCGCAGGCCTTCCTCTTTGTGGCGCTGGAGCTGGGATCGCTTGCCTGATTCGACTCTTGCGCGGCGGCGGCCTGCCGGATTGCGAGAAGGCGCTGCCGCCGCGATTCCACTGGTTCTACCTCCATTGTCAAGAACCCTAATGTTTCAAGTGGTATAAACCCTAGCTATAGAATTGATGAAAACGGCGCGGGAGGAAGACGATGACGCTGGCCAGGACGAGAATGCCTACAGCAGGGCCTTCAGCAAGATCATCAAATCGTCCTACAGCGACTCGCCTGGAAGCGCAGTGGTATGTTTGCTCTCTTGCCGCTCCCTCGGCCTCCTCTGATCGATTCGATCGATCGATTTCTCGCTGTCCTAGGGTCCAGTGTTAGCTGCTCGGAGGACGCTCGTCGCCAAGAAATTGGCGGCGCAGGAGGATGGGGCGGTGGCGGCGAAGAAGAAGAAGCCAAGCAAGCAAGAACAAGAGGTATGAAATATTAGTTTCTATGCTTATGGAAGAAGGAAAACTTACGACTCTTGTAGCGTCATTTGCTTCCAGAATCGTTTGTGAATGCCAAGGAGATGGCACTGATCAAACTGGCCACCAGAGGAGGTACGAGGATTCTCTAGTTGAATAGAATTCCTTGCGTTTCTTCTCACGAACTTTTGTCCAAAACAGTGGTAACTCTTTTCAATGCGGTGACCAAGGCACAGAAGCTCCAGGCCGACTCCGAGTCTCTCAAGTCCCGGGATGCCAAGACTGTGATCAAGCAAAGCAAAGCAGCGTTCCTCTCAGAGATAAACAACGCGAGATCTCAACCGGAGGTAACGAGAAACTCGAGATTCTCGTCGTGTGATTTTGGGTTGCTTTGTGACAGGATACTGAATCTAGATGGCCAGTATTGCAAAACGATTTTGTGCTCGGGAAGTCCAAACTCAAGAACTGGGACAAAGACAAGGTGGAGACTGCGAGATCTCGAGAATTCTCTTGTAAAATCCTAGCTTTTCCTTTGCCTTGCAGCCTGGTACCAGTGACGATGACAACGACGACGATGATAATGGGACCGATGACGAGATGTAATCGAAAACTTGTTCTTCGAGCGGTATTGGAATCCAATTTTTTTTTTCTGCGGGCTACCATTCTCAAACTTTTCAAGCTGTGGTGGAAGGGTTTAGGGTTTATACGATGAAGTACGTGGTGGTAACCGGCGGGGTTGTGAGTGGCCTGGGCAAAGGCATCACCGCCAGCAGCATTGGAGTCCTCCTCCAAGCTTGCGGCTTGCGTGTTACTGCCATCAAAATTGGTATGCTTTTTCTCGTTATTTTTTTTCTAATCGCTCGCAGATCCATACCTTAATGTGGACGCTGGAACAATGTCGCCCTTTGAGCACGGAGAAGTGTTCGTGCTTGACGATGGTGGTGAGGTCGACTTGGATCTCGGGAACTACGAGCGCTTCCTGGACATCACTTTGACGAGAGATAACAACATCACTACAGGGAAGATCTATCAGGTATGTGACTTATCGATCGATCCAAGTCCTGTGAATACTGAAGGTTTGCTTGTGGATGCTGTGATCATAGTCTGTTTTTGATAGGGAAAGGAGGGGTGACTACCTGGGAAAGACTGTTCAAGTGAGCATGGTTTTGGTTTTTCTGTCGTTCGAAAGACTTGTTTCGTTTGTGTGTTTTGGTATAGGCCATTCCTCACGTCACCAATGAGATACACGATTGGATCCAACGCGTTTCCAAAGTTTCTGTCGACGGGAAGGAGGGTGAAGCGGATGTGTGTTTGATCGAGCTTGGAGGCACTGTTTGTGAGTGTTTTTCTTTGTTGTTTCTTCTTGCTTGTTGATTTGATAATATTGTCCAGGTGACATGGAGTCAGAAGCTTTCTTTCGAGCTCTGAGCGACTTTGAGTTCCGTCTGGGACGAGAGAACTTTTGCCTCGTTCATGTCAGCCTTGTTCCTGTTCTTGGAGTCGTGGGCGAACAGGTAACAAAGCTGTCGAATTTACAGCTCTTCTCAGCATTCTTTGCAATGTGTTTTCAGAAGACGAAGCCCACACAGCACAGCGTCCAAGCGCTTCGAGCCTTGGGATTAACACCCACACTACTTGCTTGCAGGAGTGCCAAAGTTAAGCCCGTGCTACCATTTGATTCATCTTACGAGTTTTTTTTTTCCTCTCTCTCTGTCCAATTTCTTGCGCAGCCATTGGAAAAGAGTACTAGGGAGAAACTTGCGCTCTTTTGTCATGTCCCGGTACGTTTCTTTCATCTTGGTCTTGTTTTCTATTTATATTTTTTTTCTAAGTAACAAAGATGCATAGACAGGCTCATCACATCTTCGGCATCCACGACGTCTCCAACATTTGGCATGTCCCGCTTTTGCTCCGAGTAGGATAACTTAAAGTTCTTCAATTTTTTTCTGACTCTTTCCACCACTCCAGGATCAAAATGTTCATCTTGCTATACTAGAAAGACTAAACCTCAGGTCTGGTTTCTTACATATTCTCACTTAAATATAATTTTTGACTGTGTTGGTTTTTCACAGCACCGCATCACAGCCAGAACTATCACAATGGGAGCAAAGAGCCCAGCGACTCGATACACTTTCTTCTGTAAGACTTTCTGGAGCTCACCAGCGCAAGCTTACTAGTTTTTCACGCATAGGTAATAAGAATTGGAATGGTTGGGAAGTACACAGGCCTCGCTGATTCCTACCTCTCCGTGATCAAGGTCTGTTCACCTTTTGCTTTACTTTTGCCGCATGCGGTCTTTTTCATTTCGCTTTCAGGCGCTCCAACATGCAGCATTCTCGTGCGAGAAAAAGCTGGAGATTGAATGGGTCGCATCGTCAGACCTGGAAGACGATGCCTCGCAAAGTCTACGCACTGCCGCATGGACCAAGCTAAAGGCATGGAACTCATTTTTTTTGTTCTAGCTTTATGGTTAATTGATTCTCCAGAATGTCGATGGCGTTTTAGTTCCTGGAGGATTTGGAGACCGAGGAATACAAGGGAAGCTCTTGGCTGCGAAGTATGCTCGTGAAAACAACGTCCCTTACTTGGGAATCTGCCTGGGCATGCAAATCGCCGTGATCGAATTTGCGCGCTCAGTTAAGTCGATCAATCATCTAGTGAGAAGTTCTAAAAACCTTTCTTCTTGGTTCAATTTTTAGGTGCTTGGATTGGACGGAGCACACAGCACTGAGTTTGATCCGGCTACACCACATCCTTGTGTCGTGTACATGCCTGAGGTATCTATCTCTTTTTGAATGTGTGTGTGTAATCTTGTTCGTTCACTGTGTCTCCATAGATATCAAAAACACGTAAAGGTGGGACAATGAGGTTGGGTGCGAGGAGAACGCTCTTCCAGACGACAAACTGCATCACTGCCAAACTGTAAGCTTTTGTTTTTGGATCGATTGGCAAGATTGTTTTCTAACAGAAGCTCTTTTCTTTTGTTTTCTTTTTCGTGCTTTAGTTATGGGAATGCAATGTTTGTGGATGAACGCCATCGCCACCGGTACGAGGTATGTCAGATCGCACTTTTCATTTACAGTATGAACATGCTACTTGTCCTGCGCTGGAACTCATCAGCCAAAAACAAAGAGTTTTTGATCGAGTGTCACTCGCTGCTTGTCATGTTCAATTATTGTCCAGTGCCACGCTTCTTGTCGTAACAGTTGAGTCGAGAAAACTAAGCTTCGAGTGTCATGCTTTTTGTCATATACTTCGATCTGGAATCTAGACAGACAATAGCTTTTTAAGTACACTGTTTTCAATCCTTGTTTTCTGCGCAGGTAAATCCGGAGATGGTGAGCTCGCTCGAGAATGCGGGGCTTTGTTTCGTGGGAAGAGATGAAACTGGAAGCCGCATGGAGGTAAGAACTCTCTCTTTGATCTTTCTTATTGCAGACAATAATCTTGCTAACGAAATTTTCTAAGATCGTGGAACTGGCATCGCACAAATTCTATGTTGGCGTCCAATTCCATCCCGAGTTTAAGTCTCGCCCCGGAAAGCCGTCACCGGTGTTTCTTGGTAGCTCGAAAAACTTTCCTTCCCTTTCTACATTCCCAGTTGGTCTGATCCACGCTTGGTTGCAGGGTTGATTGCTTCGGCATCGTCAAAGTAGCGACGTTTTCTCCGACGAAAGCATCGCAAAAAACTTTGGTCAAAGAAAGTCAAACAATCATTGACCAAGAGCATATCCTTTTAGGGCTAATCGATCACCTTCGTCTTCGTCCCAAAGCACGACGAGGTGCTCATTTCGACGCTGGGAAGAATCGCCCAGCTCCAATCCGTCCTGCTGCTCGTGGCGTCCCTGGATTTGCTGCTGCCGTTGCCGCTACTCGTGGAGAAATCCTCCTCGGAGCCATGGGAATGCCTCTTCCTCTTCCTCCTCCGGTTGGTGATGGCGATGGCGAGATCATTGGGGAAGAGGGTCTTCCACACCAGCCAGTGGCACATCGTCGCCACGAAGAGCAGCGCCACAGTGGCGCTAGAGACGGAGGAGAGGATCGTCGCCAGCGCTTGCGTGACGGGCGTGGAGACCTCCTGGCAATAGTGAATGCTGGCGATGGAGATGGCGGTCATGGGAAACGTGTACGCCCACCAGGCGAGCGAGAATCGAAAGCCCCGGAAGAAATTGATCCTCACGACCTGGAAGAAAGAGAGAATTCCAATCCAATCGAAATCGTTAGTACCGTTGGAAAGAGACCACGCAGCGAATTTTAGGGTTCTTACCAGTGATGAGAAGAGGAAGAGGGCGATGAAGAAGGCGATCCGAGAGACAATGCCAAAGTCTCCGGTGATCTTCTCCCACGCGAGGCTGGCAGCGCTGGGCGCGGCGATAAAGAGGAAGAATACCGGGTGGAGCTCCTTGGGCAGCGCCTCGTTGGTGGGCAATCGCTGGTAGAGCGTGACAAAGAGCACCAGGTAGTGCGCGAGCCCGATCGCCCAGAAGAAGATCCCGCCATCGATCCATCCCACGGTCGCTCCCAGCAGCGCGCCCACGAAATTGCCCACCACGGACAGGTGCGTGCACGGATTCGCGACCTTGGACAGCCTGCGCTGGCCGCCCGAGAGCCACTGCCCGTAGATCTTGAGCTCCAGCGCGAGGATTGGCGCCATGAGGCAGCACCAGATCCAGGGATGGAGCGTCACTCCCGCCGATGGAGGGATGCCCAGTGCCAAGAACATCGCGGCGATCCATGGCGCGAAGAAGAAGTTTGCGCGCACGGGATGGTAGTACTCGCGCCTCACCGCCTCGAGGTAGAAGATCGCCTTGAAGAGATAGGTGGTGAAGATCCCGGCGAGCGCGATCGCGGCCAGGAACCACAGCACCGTGTTGATGATCTCCGGGGCGTGGAGGAATCGCATCGCCGGGACCGTGGAGAGGTTCTTCCAGAGAATGGATTGGCTGCCAAGCCCCAGCGCCACTCCAAACGATGAGATTGGGAAGCGCAGGAGGAATGGCCATCGCTGGTCGAGAGGGAGGAGCGCCTCCTCGGATTCCTTGAGCTGCTCGAGCTCCGGGCCTTGGAGAGCATCGAAGTATCGCCCGGCGGGGACTTGGGCGGAGTGATCTTCGTGGTGGATCGGTTTGCTGGATTGCTGCTGCTGCTCTGGATGATCGCCTGGATCGTGGTGGTGTTGCTGCTGCTGCTGCTGCTGCTGCTGCTGGATCTCCTCCTCGCGGAGGCGTGACAGCTGCTTCTCGATCTTGGAGGATCGCGTCCGGAAGAGCACGTACTTTTCGGAGTCCTTGCGGTGGATGTCTTGGGTGGAGCTCGGAGTCTTTGGAGACGATGGCTTGCTGCCGCTGGCGCTGCTGTTAAAGCTCGATCGCTTCTGGTCCGCGGGATCCTTTGGGGCGAAGCGCGACTTGGGCGACGATGGATTGCTCACGAGCAGCCGATTCAAATGCCCGGCGCCCATGGCCGCCATCCAGGCCGGGCTGTTCTTGGGTCTCTCCGATATTCCGACATCCATGGACACTGCCGTCGTCGCCGGCATTGCCTGCTCCAGATCGGTGGAGCTCGCGGCGCTGCTCCTCTTCCCCATCTCCACGTCCTCGTCCTCCCCCATTGCTTCCTTTCTTCGCGTGAGTGGTGATGATCCAGTGTTCTCTCCCGAGCGCTCGCGTGATATGGATCGATCGATCGAATTAGCCGCGGCTTAAGTAGCGATTGTTCCAGTGGAGATCCGTGCTGCTTTGATCTGTCACGGGCGCAGTGGCACTTGGAGTGGCCGCGCTTGAGCCACACAACCAAATTTAAGCTCTCCATGTTATAAACCCTAAATGATGGGGATATTCCTAGGAATTTGACACGTCACCCGACCGTATGATCACTCAACAGTGCCCCATTGACTGGGCCACCATTTGGGGCGAATGGGCTTCACGGAAGCGCCGCAGCCACCGTCCACGCTCTGGAGCTTCAGTCTGTCTTTAGCTGCCGCCTCCAGTCTCACCATCGCCAATCCTCGCGAGCCAAGAGCTGTGATCACTGACCCCACTTTCTTCCCGGTTTCTCCATCCACAATCTCTGTGCCACGAGCCACTCCCTCGCGCATTTCTGCGATTAAACAAGCAAACCATGAGAGACCTTCGAAGTTTCGTGAGTTGCTATCGAGGATGAAAGCTCACGACTAGCTGGAGACTCTAAAGAAGAGAGTTTTCTAAAGTGCCGTGTTTGGAGAGTTGTGATGCGAGTGGAAGGAAGCACGCTCACGTGAGTACGAGATCCTAAAGAGAATAAAAAAGAGTGGAGAGCAAGGAAAAGTACCTTCCGCGTTTTCCAGAACGAGACTTACAGGCATGCGCGGAAATGCGTCCCTGGTATTAGTTCCTGTCCGACGTTGCAGCCTTTCTCAAAGCTGATGGGGTTGAGAGCGGCCATGTTGTACTCGAGTGGAATGGCTTCTCCTAGTTTACAACTTCTAAGTTACGAAACCCTAACAGGAAAAGTGTTTAACTCACCTCAGTCGCCAGAGAAGGTAATACTCCTTGTCAACTTCTTGACCAGCTTCGATCAAAGGCGCTGTTCCAAAACAAGAGTCCATCAACAATTTCTTCTTGGTAAGTCTCTTCTCGTGACTGACAAACCTTGGACAGATTCTTACATGTTATGCCAGAACGGAATCCAAGCGCGACGAGCCAGAGATCTTTAAACCATCGCCAGCCTTTTCCACTTCCTTCCGCAGCGGTTGTCCCACTCAAGTCCCGGCCTCCAGCCCAGCCGATGTTGCCAGCGCCAGTCTCAGAAGTGAAAGGATCTGCCAGAGCACCGCAAAGCGTTGAGATCCCGTTGAGATCCTTCGAAAGGTCTTCAATGTTGGCTTTGGAGCGCCTGAAGAAAGATTAAAATCCGAGAAAGTTTTAAGTATGCTGGACAAACTTAAGAGAGATGCATTTGGAAAAACAAACAAGGAACCTGATGGAACGCAAGCAACTGAAAACCATTCGAGCGTGACATACCGTTGAACAAGGAAAAACTAGCATAAAATCGTGCAAAGTCGCACCCAGGCAGAGAATCCCACAGTTGAACGTGTCGGCACGGCGCGGCTCTTGAGACGCGAGGCAAACGGCCCGCGATCGGTGAGCACCCGGCATGGCGCCCCCCTGGATTCAGCTGCTGGGGCATTCTGGGCGAGGAGCCTGGAGAAGACGCGCGCCGCAGAGAGAGAGAGAGAGTGAAGAACCCTAAAAATGTGATGACACTCCCACACAGTTTGTTAACACATCTGCTCCTTAGCTCGATTACCTATGAGCAACTTACTTTTTTATCGTGGAAAATCCTTGCTCTCGTGTTCATGGAAATCTTTGAGCATCAATCAATCTCGAGAAGCCGCAGTGTGAATCCTTGGTGACTTTTGCAAACAAACAGGTAGCTCCAGAACAATGGTGTAGAAGCTGACATTATTTTCATAATTTTTTTTTTGTAAAAAGCATGGTCAAATTAAGTGAATTAAAGGTTTAAATGTCTACATTCCAGAATAGCTACATTTCAATCCCAGTTTATATGTTATACTACTATAATTAGTGTGTTAAATAGATAAGGTAATATATATATATTTACTATCCTCCCCTCTAGAAAATGAAAAAGATTGTATTAATTAGGTAAGGTAATATATATATTTATAAAATTTACCATCCTCCCCTCTAAAACATTTTTAGAAAATGAAAAAGTCTCTTTAGAAAATAAGAAATTTTGAGGAAGTTAAAATTGATGGAATACCAATTAATATAATTGCTAATAACTATAGTAAAAATAAAAACCTAAAACTATGGCAAAAATATTAGTTAATTACAAAATCCTAAGGAATAAACTATAACTCAATGAAAAACTGCAAAATCCTCAAATTAATTTAAAATTTAAAATTTTGAATAATAAAAAGAGATTTTGAGAGTAATTGCAATTCATTACACCTTTGTAATAAATGATAAATTTAATCTTTACATTACCATTCAATTAACTTATAACCATCATTTCAACTTACTTCTGAGACTATCGTGAATTAACATTTATAACCATCATTTAAACTTATACCTATCATTTGAACTTATATTGCCATTCAACTAATTTATAATTATCACTTCAACTTACTTTTGAGACCATTGTGAACTCAAATTTATAATTATTATTTGAACCTGTAAGATGGTCTCACATTTATAACTATTATTTGAACCTGTAGTGCACCATATCTCATGAAATAGAAAAATATTTGAAATAACTATTAATCAATGAGAATTGAACTCATGACATTTTTTTAATACCACATATAATACATTCTATCTCTCTCTTTTATGATCACATATACTACACAATTTATCTTTATATCTTACTATAAGTCACCTTCCGAGTTTTATATTAACTTAGATTAACAACTATCATCGTTGTCTAGTATTATAGATTAAAAATTAAATTTGCTTCATTCTTTTTCTATATCTCTATTCTCAAAAGGAGAAAAAATTTAAACTCCATTTGAATTTGTTTGTTTGGACTCACCACATTTATCATTACTTTATAATCTATGTTATTCAACCTCACTTCATTACTATTTATTAATCATATATATTTTATCATTAGGGCGAAACTTTTATCTATCCTCTCTACCCCCTCATGTTAGAAAAAAAAATTAAAATTTTGAGGCAAAATAAAAGTATTGATAAAAGAATAAAATAAAATTATAAATAAATAAATAAATATAGAAAGAAGAACTTTTAGCAATTATCAATTTAGAAATAAAAAAATTTAAAGAAGAAAATGTGACAAAGGCTTAGATAATAAGGGACTTTATACTATAAAGAACTTTATTCAAAAAAAAAACAGAATAATATGAGATATTTTGCTATAAAATACTTTGAACAATATAACTGTCGCGAATGTGACTTCAGGTATCGAAAGTTACCTGTCAATCAGTCCTTTTGAATATTCTTTCTTTACTGCCACGACGGCAGGAAGTCGGTATTGCTGGACCCATTATCAGTTCCCACTTGAATTAGTTGAGAAACTGGGCAATGACCATGCACTTAGATTGGATAAACATAAGGTAGGAACCCTATGTGTTTCTTGCTGAGCATACTCGGCCTGGTTTGAGAAACTTGAGTCATTGGCTTGCACTTACTAGTATCTGTAAGCGACTAATTTTTCCATTCTACTTTAGTCACTTAACCACACCTCCGACCACTTGGAGGAGTCTCATTCACAACCTCCATTAGTCCAATTCAGGACTTGGGACTTGCTAGCCCCAAGAATGGCATCCATGCCACTCAACACTTGCACCTGGTCCAAGTGCTCCACGTGTCCGGTCCTGAGACCGACACCCAAAGGTACCACTGACATCTCGGCCCGTTACGCTAAGGCCATGCCCATTCACCTTTGCTGCACTAGTGGTTCAACACCACTTGCATCACCACCTCGTCTCTCCAAGACTGGGCCATGTGTCCACGAGTGGTCATCCTAGATCCACTCCTTAGCATCCTTAGGATGCCCACAGACCTGGGGAATTGCCTTCCCCAAAGTCCCTTTGTCAGTTCCTACCAAGTCCCTTTCTGCCCCTGGCCGTGTTTGCCAACACTGCCACTGGATTGAGGCCCACAGGCCCGACCACTAAGCCCCACGGTCCTCTGGGACTTCCTCACCACACGACTGTGTCCTTGGTCACTACCCCAGAGGACTGCTCCTCTTCCTTTCCACAGTCTGGGCCTTTGGGACGACATTTCGGAACACCGTGGCCTTACGCGAGCCACCTGGGTACTCTCCCCACCTATCGCCTTTAGGTGCTCTAGCCATGGGCTTAGAGCGAGGTTCCGTTGAGCCACGCCTGGTATCCAAGTAGGTAGTGCCACCCACACTTGGACTGGGAGCATCGGCCAGTCGATCTCCCGGGGGAACTAGAGCCGGCTCTTGAACACTTCACCAAGCTACCCCGCTTGTCGGTCCGTATTCACTCTAGTCTTGGACTTCCCAGTGGTCAGTTCATCACCCAACACTGGGTCTGGCCTTCCTGGGCCAAACTGGCCTTTCCTGGCCAAACTGGCTCCACTGCAGTCCTCCCCCTACTATACTTTTGGAGCTCACCAAACCCCCCAGGGTCTGGGAGACGAACGCTTTGGGCTTTCACCCTCTCAGGCTCCGGACTCGGACTCGGACTCGGACTCGGACTCGGACTCGGACTCGGATTCGGATTCGGACTCGGACTCGGGCTCGGGCTCGGTCTCGGCCTCGGCCTCGGTCTCGGTCTCGGTCCCGATCTCGGTCTCGGTCTCGGTCTCGGTCTCGGTCTCGGTCCCGGTCTCGGTCTCGACTTCGGACTCCATCTCGGACTCCATCTCGGACTCCATCTCGGACTCCATCTCGGGTCCATCTCGGACTCCATCTCGGACTCCATCTCGGACTCCATCTCGGACTCCATCTCGGGTCCATCTCGGACTCCATCTCGGACTCCATTTCGGGTCCATCTCGGACTCCATCTCGGACTCCATTTCGGGTCTATCTCGGGTCCATCTCGGACTCCATCTCGGAATCCATCTCGGACTCCATCTCGGGTCCATCTCGGACTCCATCTCGGACACTCCCACGTGTCATGTGTTGGTCCTTTTGGGTCCCTTTTTGGAGCCTCGCCTCTTGCTCGCTTCGTGCTCGTTCCTCGAGCACTTCGTTGGGAGTTCCACTCCCGCTCTTGACTTTTCAAGTCGGAGCTTTTGGTCCAAACGTGTTACGCTCGTTTGGCTCTCGCTTCGGCCACTACCATGTGGTGCCCTTCCGGCTCCACTTTGGGGCCTAGGGATTTTGTGTCTCACAACTCCACCACCCATAGACGAAGTTCGATGTCCTCATCGAACGGTAAACCCTTTCATAAAGTAACACCCACACGTGTTACCATTTCCATCCTTGGCACCTAGCCAATCTTTGTCTATGGTTTGATATCAAAGGCTCACCATGCCTTGTCCATCCTTTAAGGAGCGTAGTCTCTCCAACTTAGAGACTGATTGGACCACATGTAATGGTTCTCCCCTTTTATTGGTTTAGTTCTTGCTAAACCTCTTAGAGACCCTTCTCTAAGTCAATCCCATTACTCCTTCTCGAGTAGTCTCAATTTCCATCTATTGAATGTTTGCACCTTGGAACTTTTACTCTTTTGACTTTTTGGGAGTCAATTTCCTAGGTGTCTCCAACACCCTGCATTGCACAGATTGTGCAACTCCACTTCCCTATCCTAGGAAGTTCATTACTTGAGGGCACCATCATCCTCTTTTCTATTTCGTGCCACCTTGGGCACTAAGTTCCATTTATCATACTTTGTGCTAGGGCTGTCCATGGCCCTATCATTTGGCTACCTTACCGCTCCCTCACTTGGAGCCTTTACTTCGCCAAATTGGAGCACTTAGGAATCCGTCCTTGAAAGTCCGCTTCCTTTCCCACAAGCTGTTAGCATCGAACACATTAGTGTTCCTTGGCTAACTTTGCCATTTGGATCCCTTCCATTAAATTCCATGGCCCAAACTTTGGCCACTAGTCCTTTGCTCCTATCCGTTGATTGTTGCACCAAGCAACATCGAATCTCTACCTCCCTCCTTGAGGTATTGTTTTGGTTCCATAGCAAAGACTCTTCTTTGCCAAGTCCGGAGGACGTTCACCCCTAGTACGTCTCTTTAGCATCTTCTGCTATGGGCTCTATCCACGGCCCAACTTCGTGACCCTCCCATGGGTCTTTTATAGAGACTACTTTCCTCGAACTCATTATGCCATCGCACGGACATAGTTTATTTCCCTTAGGTGCTCTTCCCACTTGGTTATCACGACCAAGCCACACCACCTTAAACAGTTCAATTTCAACATTTTGAACCAGGAACTTCATTCCTTAGCCAACCAAGGACCTTGTCCTTATCTGGCCATAAGATCACCTAGTGATCTCACCTTGGCACCTTAACAGAGTTGCCAAGAGGTACTTGGTTTTCTAGACCTCCAAGTTGTTGACTATAACCCCGGGGGCATCCCCCACACTTGGCAGTGCACCCAAGCTAGCCCTTACGGCCAAGGGTTCATAGCAACTGAGATTAGGTGTCCCCATCTCACTCACCACGACCTTGGTGCCACTTGCACCAAAGTGTTCAAGTTAGATATGCTGAGCTTTCACACTAAGCAATCTAACCGTGCATCACGACTC